GGTGGAGGACCAATATCGTCGTCGTCATCGCTGTTTACGATTTCTACTACCTTCACCGGTGGCTGCTTCTCTACTTTAGGCGGCATTTGACTGGTTTTCGAAATCAAAAGAGTTTAGGGTTTGAATTTAAGTTAGGGTTGTATGAATAGCTAACTAACAATGTATTTGATTCGTAAAATTTGGTACAGGAGATTGTAGTAGCAGACTGGAGTTTTGCAGATGCAGAGATACCAGTAAAATTGGGAACGGGAATGAAACGGTCCCGTTCAGTTATATTTAACGCAGGCATTAAACTCATGCCAAATCCATGCGGTGTGTTTTACAAGGGGATCCTTTTAGTGCTTGGCTGCATGCTACGGCAATTTCGAGGCACTGTGCTACAATACCTTCAAATTTAGGAAGCAATAAGATGAGATTTATGATTACTTAAAAGTATAAAATGCTTATTAATTCATAAATCATATTTTTACGAAATCCTAATACTTTTTTCTTCACTAAAATAATAAGATAATTTTTTTTCTTAAAATTATAGTCAATCATTCATAATTGCCATTCAATTAGTTAAATTACAAAACAATAGATAAATTTTTATAACATAATAATTAAATTTCCTCAACAATCCTTAATGTTACAAATTGAACGTTATTGATAGCGAACACTATTGCATTATATTGATTCTCTTAACTTACCTCTTATTAACTTATCTTTTCATTTGCTCAACATGGAATTATGTTCTCGGGCATTTGGTTACATTTTGTTTTCTTTTACGCAATTCTTGACTAGTCGTAGTTACTCATTTTCTAACCTAGACATTTTTGTGATAAACCGAAAGATTCCTTCGACTTTTTATTTTATCTTTTTTTAAAAGACTTTGGTGTAGTCATATCTCACCCATCGTTTGTCATTTCTCTCCATTAAGAGAGTTTATAAGACCAAGCCTTAACCTTAACCATCCGGCTTAGGGAATTCCACTTTCAAAAGAGACTTTTTTTTATTCAATGTGAAAGCTCATTTGACCCCAAGGTAATGTGTATTTCAAAAGAATAGCTCAAAACATGTGCTGAATATATGTTTATTTTGTGATTTAGGACAAAATTGGAGACAAATGAGAAAAAATGAACTAATTTAAGCGAAATTCTACATGTTGGCAAATTGACGTTTAGAGAAACATATGAAATTTTTATTTTCTTAGAATCTTAGAATATGGAAAGGGCTGCTTGAGATTTAAAGTAAACTTCTTGAACTTTTCAAATTAGATTTATACACTTAAATCTAATTTGGTTTGTACTCTCAAAATTGGTTACAAAATTAAGTCGGAAATCAAATCACGTAACAATTCAAAACACTAATTAGTATTTAGGCCATAAACAAAGGAGAGAGGTAGCATCAATGATAACAGAGAGAGAGTGATACACGGCAAAAGGAGAAAAGAATAGAGACAACTCCTCAAAAGTTAGAGTTGTCACATCCTTTCTTAAAAAGTCCGAGTTATCGCATAAAACCGTGATTTAATTTCTAGAGTAAAATTAACTATACGGAAGGATTGGAGTTAGCATTCTATGAATTTTGTGGCTTCCTTTGTAGGTGTTTAATTTGTGTGGATTATCAATAGAGGTCGAATACTTGGACGACTCTTTTTCTATAAAAGTTAAATTATGCGCTACAGGAGGTAAGCCTTTAGTTATGCTTTAGTTTATGTATATATGATTAATTGATTCAATAGCTTGATCTTGCTAGCCTTAATGGAGTTAAAATTTTTATTTTATTTCGCACTTCTATAGGATGCATGATCCTTCGTCATTGTTTAGAGGTTTTAGTGTTGATTGTCAATGATCTGGTCGAGGTCAATATTTTTAGTCGTAGTTGTTAGGGTGGTTAGTGGTAAGAGAGAGAGTTTTGATCGCAAAGAGGATAACATGGCTATGGTGTTATAGGTGGGTTTTAGCCACCAAGGGTCATAATGGCTATTAGGGTTATTGGTAACGAGAATAGGTTTTGGTCATGGTGAGGATGATGGGGTTGTAGGTGGTTTTAAGCTATTGTGAGGACGACGAGAGAGTGGTCGTTGTAGGTGGGTTTCGACTATGGTAGGACAACAAGGAGTAAAGAGATGGATGATGGAGGTGGTTGGGCTTGTGGTTTTTGGCAAAAAATATGGCAACATACAAGTGGTCGAGTGAAGAGGATGACAACGATGGTGGTTATGAGTTAAAGGACGAGTAAGCTTGGTTGGTGATTTTTACAAAGTGTTTTTTTTCTCTAAGGTTTCATTGATAGTAGAGGAAAGGAGATCGATGGCTTTGAATAATAGTGGGAAAGACATCTTTGAATGGTAATGGTGGCAACTTTAAATGACAATAAGGAGGACGCGAGTTAGGTGTTTTTTTTTTTTTTTTTTTTTTTTTAGGGAGAAGATTTTTTCTCTCTTATGGTTTTTTCTTTTTTGACTAGCCCTCTCTTTTGAGAGAGAAGAGAAAATGATGTTTTTATAGTAGATTTTTAGGGTTTGATGGCTTGCTTTGGTCCTTATCTTGCATGCCTTTTTTATTTTAATCCTATGTTTCTTTATTTCCTTTTAATTGTATCCTTAATTGAACCTCTTTCGGTCCTTTCTCTTTTTTTTTTTTTTTTTTGCAATTTACCATGATTCGTTCCTAATTAAAACCTTTGGCTTTTTATTTCTTTTAATTAAGTTTTCAATTGGATCTCTTTTGACCTTTACTCTCATAATTTTTCAATTGGCATCCAAATGCCACTTTTTCAATTTGTTCTATTTTTTTCTTAATATTTTTGCATTGATTATTTTTCTTCACTCATTTTTTCATTCTTGGTAATTTTCAAAACTCATAAAATAACTAAAATTTAAGAAAACTGATAGAAATGCCTTTTTTAAAAATAAAAAATAAATTGACTAGTTTTTTGGATTTTTTTTTTTTTTTGGAAAATTTACAAAATAGAGGGTTAAAATTGGGAGCTAACAATACTTGTACTCGTTTGCGATTATGCCAAAGAAACAATTTTTGTCCGAAGGGACTGTTTGCAAGCTAGTCTAGTCCGAATGGATTGCCGTTCAAATGATGTTATCCTCATTCTTTTGACGTTAGGAATGGTCGCTCGAAACCTTTCTTATACCGTTGCCATGGCAGGAGGCATGCCTTAATTGGGAAATTTGGTTTGGTGTGGCTCGTTGGAGATTATGGCTTTGGTGAAATGAAGTCATCTTCAACCTCGAGGCAAATATTCATGTTAACCATCCGTTTTGCATTAGAACTCATGCCGCATATATCCCGGCTTGTAAAAAAACCTTTTCTACTCTCCAACTTCTACCGTTAAGAAGAAAGGGGCACTTATTGGATGGAGTTTTCTCTTAATTAGCAAGAAATGTATTGCTACACTTACATAATTTTGTTTGCTAAACCTTTTTTAGATGAAATGTATTAAAGGACCATCTCACCTAAAAACTTAAGTCGATAGGTGAGGTCCTAGAATATAATTTATACTAGTCTTTAACACACCCCCTAAAGTGAAATGCCCAACATTTGAGGCATGAAACTTGCAAAAATCCACATTGCCTTGTGCTTAATATTTCAGAAATTAGGAATGATGAGACTTGAACTCGGGATCTCAAGGTCAACTAAGCTCTAATACCATATTACGAGTCCATCTCACCTAAAAACTTAATCTAATAGGTGAGGCCCTAGAATATAATTTATATTAGTCTCTAACAAAATGACAAACTTCTCTTTCATAAATATACCGACTAATTCCTCTTATTATAAAAGTTGAAGGATAATTTTTAACTTTTTACTTCCAAAGTTTAGTGGCAATAGATTTATGGAAATGCCAGCAGCATATCACCCGCAGAGAAAATATAGTAAAAAGGATCCTAATTGATCACTAATTGTAGTCTCATTCCGGGAAATGAATTACTCTAATTCCTTAACAATTTCTTAAATATGGCTGACCAACAATACAATTTTATGACCGATATCTCATTAAATTTTGAGTTTTAAAAGCCTTCAAACATAATTGCATAATGTTTTTAGAATTAATTGAATATTAAATATGAGTAAATACTTCTCTCTACCCATCTAGAAGAAGAGTATTAATTGGTTGTGAAAATGGCCTTAAAAATCTAATACTTCCCCACCGAACATGCGATCAGGATGTTTTCATAATATTAGATTTGAGTGTGTGTGTATATATATAATCAAATGAACAATATATAATATATTTTTTTCCTTTTTTTCTCTTTTTTATTACTGTATTATTATATTACTCTTAATATATTAGTATTCTAATTAGTATTATATCAAATTAAAATTTAAATGTAATCACTATTACATTAATAATATATTATTATATTAATTATTAATATTATAATTATATATTTTTTTAATCTATTTTTTATTTTTTATTTTTTTTTCATTTCGTCCGAAAAGTATTTTTTTGTTTCAGCCTCTGCCCGTGTCATGGGCCACTTTTTGTTGCAACAAATTAGATGAGATAAAAAAAAAGTTTATTTTATTTGATTCAAAAAATCAATATATATATATATATATATATATAATTTTTTTCCTAGGAAGATATAGCAGTACTCTCCCAATTTGGAATCTTAATGTCTCCCAATTAAAGACCATGGACACTGTTGACTCCTGTATCTATGAAGTTTCAACATAACCCATCATATTCAACTGGAAGGAATTAAGAAGACATTAATGGCAAAAATTTTAGTCATAAAAGAAGCTTAATGACACTCAAGACTATTATTAAGAAATACTAACCATTGGATCACTAAATTTGAATGGCCAAGATTAACCATTGCCATAATAAATGCACTAGCTCCATATACTCACTCCCCTATTAAAACTAACAATATTAAGGTGGCAGTAACTCTTTTATTATCAAACTCCAACAAATTAGGCATCTAATTTTCTCTTTGTTTTTCTCTTCGTTAAGCTTGTTAAGCTGATTACAGACAACCTTTTCTTCCAAGCCCAATGTTTTCCTCAGATAACTACTCAAACAAACCTTACATGAAAGATGCATTTTCCCATGAAACATCTTCATCAAGGAGCTTTCTTCAGGATTTTAACCATCTTGATCAGTTTCACGCTGATCGATCATCTTCTTCAAATTCGTTGTTTGGTCTCCAAACTGGCTCCAATTTTGATTCTTTGGATGCTTTCCCTTATAGATTATCACCAACTACAGATTTATACGAGTATGAATGCAAGCCATTCACAAATAACAACAATATCGGACGATATGGGCAAGACCATTTCCAAAGTGGTGGGTGCCTGAACCTTCCTCAAACAAATCCCATTGACACAACTATAGATTCTAATCGAGGTCACATGTCCTTGAATTTACAAGAAATCAAACCTATGAATTTTGTTGTGCCAGATGGAGCCACCTCTTGCGTGACGAAGCATGATTACTATTCAAAAGCTGGTTTGTATAAGAATGATGCCATACTACTTTTGACAAGAAGGGCAGGGAAGACTCCTAAAAAGGAACCTATTAACGTAGTCAAAGGGCAGTGGACAGCTGAGGAAGATAGGTACGTACATTATTTAAAAAAAAAAAAAAAAAAACTTTTTTTGTAAATTACCTCTCAAATTTTCCATGTTTGCCTTGATTTGTTGTGATAACGTACATCTTTTTTTGCATGTTTATGCAGTCTGTTGATTCGACTGGTTGATGAGTTTGGAATAAGAAAATGGTCGCATATTGCTCAGATGTTGCCAGGAAGAATTGGAAAGCAATGCAGAGAAAGATGGCATAATCATTTAAGGCCAGATATAAAGGTTAATTTTTCTTCTCCTTTATTATTATTATTATTATTATTATTATTATTTATCATATTGTGCTTTTATAACAACATATATTTAAGGAATCTCACTTATGTATTTGAAAATTAATACTTCGTAAAATATAGGTTTAATAGAATACGCTACAGACTCCTAAGCATACTCATAAGTCATAGGCAACATAAGGAAGGCAGTGCATTTTCTCATCATTTTTTTAAAAATATATTTTGCATTACAGAAAGATATATGGAGTGAAGAGGAGGATAGGGTGCTAATAGAGGCCCACAAAGAAATAGGGAACAAATGGGCAGAAATTGCCAAGAGGTTGCCAGGGAGAACTGAAAACTCTATCAAGAACCACTGGAATGCAACTAAAAGAAGGCAAAACTGCAGCTCCAAGAGAAAAAGCCGATCCAAGTATCCAAAGGGCTCCCTTCTGCAAGAGTACATCAAGAGCTTGAACTTGGACTCAATTCCTAAAGTGAAACGACGTCAGAGGAGAAGGAGAAGTGCAAAATATTCTGATGTCAGGGCAGCAGGTAGTAGTAGTACTACAATGAAAGAGCCAAGTGATCAGCAGCAGCCTCAGCAGGAGTTGGGCCTTTGTGGAAATAATGATGGATTAGTCTTAGACTATGATTTTGATTTTGATGAGACTATATTTCAAGATGGCTGCAGCATCGATTCTCTTCTTGATGAGATAGGTTGCGATCCTGTTGTTAACGAAAAAGTGTTTGATATGGATGTGCCAAAAGAGGATGAGAATCCATTTCAAGATTTTGACATGATGAATGAGGTGGATTTAATTATGGAGATGAACCCTGAAAACTTTGAGCATGCATATTAGTTTGGTTCGCGGAAGTAGTACTATAGTACTGGTGCAGGATTATTTTTTTCTGGAAAACAATTAATGTTAAAATGAACATATATAAGATGTTCTTCTTGTAAGGAACAAATATTCTTGCTGATTCAGAATTCAAAAGAGGAAAAGGAACAAATTAATTAAAATAAAACTAACAGCACTTGTATTGTAAATGTTGTGATACTATAAGAAGTTTTTAAAAGCTTTGATTGCAAAATATTTCTCAAATGCATGTTGCTAGCTAGGATATTGAATAAAAAACTTATTTCTTGTTTTTCTACAATTCTTAATTTCCACCATGCTTTTTTAATTAATTCATAACAAACCAATGATCGATCTCTATTCAAGAATCCTATATGGGAGTAGTTTGTTTCCTTTTATTTTTGTAACTTCTAATATATCATAGGAAGTATGATTTTTCCCAAATCTCTTTTTTTTTTTTCTCGAGATATTCCAAACCCAAACTAATATTTTGTTATTCGATCAAAAGCACAAACTGAACACAATTATCTTTATATATAAAAATTCGAATCCAAACCTATTTATTTAAATAATTAAAGTTTTTCTCATTCAAATAAAACCTCTTAGGATACCCCAAGTCTCTTTTAAGTATTAGAATTTTCTGCCCCAGTAAAAATTTGCTTGCACATGGATAATGTATTTGTAAGCCGCATGTATGGATTAATTATTTACACAGTCTACTTTTTTACCAAAAACCAAAAGTTAGTAAACATTAAAACTTTGAGAACGGGTAAAAAATTTTTGTTTCAAAATTTAATAGCATTAATTAGAGCAATAAGTTAAAATTATTAAAGTATTAAGGACTTGGCTTAACTTAAAATTTATTGCTGTAAGTTATGGCTAGTAGACATTAATAAAAATTTATTACAAAAAAAAAATAATTAAAAAAAATGAATTGACATACCCCCATGAATAAATTGAAATGAATGAAATTGTCATTTTTTTCCGGTTAATCTCATTTTATCATGTAAAGTATATATATTTTTATCAATTTTTTCTCAAAAGGTTGTTTTTTTTTTATCAATTGTCTCGAGAGCAGATTAATTTTTATTTTACACCTTTGAACCAAAGGAACTTATTGATGAATGAATAAAACATCAAGAGGGTAAATAATTAGAGAACAAACATTTCGATAAAAATGATAAAACTCATATACTTAAAATGAAATTAACTATTTTTAAAATTATTTAACACACATACTAGTGTAAATGTAATATATATTATTTTTAAATGTAGTATCACTCTTAGGTGTCTTTTGGTAATATGAACTTGGATGATGAGAATGAGCATAAAAACTTCCTTCTGACTTTGATTCTTTCAAATCAAAATATATACTTTTAAATTTTTATTTTTAAAATAAAACATTTTAAAACTGATTTATTAAATTATAACTTTTTGTACAATATTAAACATCTAGGTGTATGCCATTAATCCACGTCATTGTTTTTTATCTTCTCTTATTCAAAAAATGAAATGAAAAATTGTCACTTCTCAATTTATTTCGAAATAAATTGAATATACTTATTTTATACATGAATATTAACAAAATTTCATTAGAAATTATGACACATGGCGAGACAAAAATTAACATTAATTTTTAATACATGGAAGATGGAACCTTAATTATAGTTACGTGTCCGTGGCTGAGTGTATTGAATTTACTAAGCAACTAGAAGCATGAGAAATTTTATAATACTTCAAGAATAACTAGTGACGAGTGACAACTTACTCCATTTTTTATAAACCTCAATCTGCCATGTCATTAAATTTTTTAGTACATTTGGCTTTAAGAATAATATGATGTGGAATTCTTAAAAAAAAAAGCTTGATAAAATTTGTCTTGCGACCAATAACCCTAAAAAAAAAAAAAAAAAAAAAGGGTGAAAAGTTATCTTGCAGCCAAAAAATTGCAGGACTAACCGAGTGGTTTGGTGGTTATAAAAAATTTACTCGTTCTTTCTAATTGAAGAGAAGAGAAACAAGAATTAGGTCAATTGGCCGCAATTCTTTTCTTGCCAATCTTTCTTATCGAAGAGAAGAGAAACAACAAAGTTTCTAATCAAAGAGAAGAGAAACAACAAGGGAATTAGGTCGGTGGCTACAATTCTTTTGTCACAAAGGTTTTTAATTGAAGTGAGACACCGCATGGGAATTAGTTTATATGTTCTTTTTTATTGTTAAGCATATCATGAATAGCTTGCAAGATCATGATTTGAGTAAATCTTTTTTGTATTTCAACAAGATCATTAACTATGTTACTCCGAAACTTCTTTTTTGTTCTTTTTTTTTTTTTTTTGGTTTTTGCACGGTTTGAGTGGCTAGAATCAATTGGAATGGATTGAGTTTTTGTTTAGTGCTTAAAGGGAATTTATATTCATAGGGTGTTAATTAATAGACATTATTGTTATTGAACCTTTGATGAAGCACCTATTGGAAGAATGGAATAAGAGAAACGAGAGAAAAAGAAGATACAAATGCATTTTGTTACTCGGACTAAGGATGTGACTTTCTTTCTTTAGTGGGTTTATGTTATGTTTCATGTCATGGTCATGCTAAGAGTCGTTCTTTCCCTCATGCTAGGGAATGTTATTGGGGTTCAAGAAAACATTGATTTTTTGGTTTTGTACTTGTTTGGATGAGACGAACTTAATGAAGTTCTATTCACAAAAAATGCATCCCGGTGTTGCTAGTCTTTCTAGGAATGGAACCAAAGTTTCACCGAAGATTATCCTCAAGGAATCGCTTTACATCGGAATAGCGAGGTGTAATGTATTTCAAATATTAATAGCCCCTCCCTTTTTCTCATTCTAAAATTTTCTACTATCTTGAGTATTTTTTCAATGTTCATGTCACCGATGTGTCAAGGAAAGCATTTCTAACATAAATGTCTAATATTGTATTGTAGGAAAGTAGAGAATTTTTTTTGCCACATGTCACCGATGTGTCAAGTGCTCCTTGTTCCCCCGGCGGCTCCTTGTTCCCCTAGCAGAGCGAGGGATTACAGGATAATTTCTTACCACATGTGTGCATCAAGCTTGGGTGGGAAAACTTATCCCTCAAAGGAAACAAGTATGCGTTTTGGTGCGAGTGTACGAGAGGTGGTAACATTGCAACTAATTGGCCAAGCTATATCACTTGCGATATTTTTTCTAGGCACTGTTTGTTGGTAAAAAATAACTTTTATTACGCTTTTTGACCATTTCCTTTTGTTAGATTATTGGTCAAGCAATTGACCATTATTGTTATTGAACCTTTGATGAAGCACTCGTTGTTTATTGATTTCCATAATTGGTCCGAAATTATAATTATAAGGTCATACTTGTTAAAATTATTAAACTCGTGTGCATTTTCTTAATGATTACTTTGTTGTTTATGATTGTCAATGGCTTCGTTAAGTGCTTATGTTATTTTATACTTTGGTAAGTTTCATATTCTAGATCTTTGCTTTAAGCAATTTTATGCTTGCTAGGTAATTTACAATTTCCCTTCTTTATCAATTAGTTTAAAAAATAATACATTTATCCGGTAGAAGCCCATTATGTCATACTTTGATTAGACTGTAGAGTTAACATGTATATGTTATTAGATTTGAGCAAGACAAGGAGCCGGAAAGTGTATCGAAGTTGTGGGTCTTGGTCGATCCGAAGAAGTTGCAGCTGATGGTATGTGATTTAAATTTCTCCCACGGTATTTGAATCTTTCATCCTCAATTCTTACTAGTTTATACTATGGAGAAAGGCCGCACAAAGTGGTCTCGTTAAGTACTTGTCTACAAATGAATAACTTTGTATTGCCATATGCTATGATCAAGGTATTGTCATTTATTGAGGGGAACAATGAGGCGGGGCCATTGCTTGGTGATGATAAGAAGCCTTGGTGAGATCATATTATGTAGTTTCAAAGACGAGACATTTAAGACTATGTTTAGGATTATGTAGGATGATTCCAAAAACAATTTAGTAGTACATCCGAAACACATGTATTAATCAATGATGCAAGATTGTTTTAGGATTACGTTTTAGAATTATGTAGGATGGTTACATGTATTAATCTTTGCATGGGTTATTAAAACACATTTTGAATAAATTATCCGGTTTCTTAGTTACACGACTCACCGTTCATGCTCGTTTCATTGCTAACACTTTCTTTTTACTTAATTTTCAGTTCTTGCATAAAAAAAGGTGTCGCTTCGGAAGTCCACATGAGCATCTTCTAGAAGTTTTTATTTTTCAATTATAAAACTAAGAGTTTATGTGTTTATGCTTGCAATTTGTTGACGAGATCCAAATACTAAGTACAACCTCCGGCAATACTCGATAAGTTGACACTACGAAATGCGGTATTTACTATTTATCGTGAAGCTCATGTTACAGTTGTAAGATGGTTGATACATGTTGATTTTTCAATTATAAAAAAATTGTATTGTATTTAAGGTGACTTTATTGTGTAGCAGAAATAAGAAACGTGATAAATTTGTTTCTCCAAACTTAGAGAAGATTATAAATTTTTGGATTTACTTAATGATGATTGAAATTCTTCATTATAACCTTAACCTTGTCTTCCGTCATTTTATTTTATGAAGTTAATGACGTTAATAATTAGATCAATCATAAAAACCTTGGAGACTTCAACTCGTCAAAAATATGTTGATGTTTCTTCCTTTGATGTTTGCACAATCATTTAAATAATAACTGCAAGAATCATGTGGTTTTCTCTTCCAAAATGGATAGAGATTCATCGGTAATGAAACCTAGGGAAAGATATCTTTGAGCATTCCAAAACGATCGTATTGCATTAACCATGAGATTACAATATGGTGTGTAAATTCGGTGTTTCGACATCCTTCTACGAGTGCATTTTTATTTTTTTATTATATGCTAAAAATTAATTTAACGATACAAGTATAAAATAAAGCTCATATCCCCACATCATAATTCGAGTGATACGAGTTTAAATGAATGGCCTTGCCGATTCCAGCTTACGTGAGTGAATTAGCCGGATGTTAAAGCTTAAAAAGCTATAAAAAAAATCAAAACAACAAAAGCTCTCATGCGGACACATATAAATTGGTAAAGATTCTTCATGAGGTAAAGCAAACAACAAATTAATGAGCATGAGGTCCGAAATGCATATCTAACCCGTGCAGTTGAGTTATACTGCAAACAAGATGAAGTCATGTTATAGGATCTTGCAAATTGTTGCTTGATCGTCCATACATTTTTTAACAAATAGCTAATCAAAATATTATCAAGATTCAAGGATAACCATAAGAGTAATAAGAATACATCAAAATAAAATTATACCAAGACCATAATTAAAAATAGTAAAAATTCTTCAATTGGATGATCTTCAAACAATATCTTCAAATTTGATTGAGAAATCAACTTGAACCTATTCCATGATTCAAGGGTAGCTAGATCTAGCAAGATTACTTCGACTTGATGGCGGATTACAAATCATCAAATTTTGAGATGAACTCTATCAAATTATTACATTATTAGATTATTGCACAAACATTAAACACCTTCATCACAATAATATGATAATATATTAAAATACCTGCTTTAGTAACTCCGTGAAAGACATGCTAGAATCATGTAATATGGACATCTACATATATAATAAGAAAAATTATTCAATTATATTTGTGAAGACATAATATTTCAAATCAAAATTAGTAATGAAATAAAAAATAAATAAAGAAAAGTGAAAGTACCTTATTTTTTGAAGAAATATAATTTGTAGTTGTACTCGTTAAGGATACTACAATCATCAATTTGGCCCTATAAATAATATACACTTTATCAAAACACGATAGTTTGGACATGCAAATTATTAGTGAATAAATGACCGAATTATTTATAAATTAATAAACAATTCAAGTTTACCTCAAAATCGATACCGATTACTTTTTGTTCTTGGAAGAGAGCATCACCTTATACTTGCAATTGTATTTGAGACACATTTTTCTTTCTTGATGATTTTTTATTTTTTTCTCGTATCGCGGTTTGTACCGAATGTTCTTTTTATCCTTTGGCCATTTAGTTAGAGGATCTAATAACAAATCCTTATTTGCGGTAGTATCACAATTAAGACCATTTTCATCTTGATCATTATTGTTCCCTTCTCGACTAAACTACTTTGATACCTTGAAAGCTCGAATCTCAATATTGTTCAAATCATCATGAGTCATCTTTGACATATTTTCATTAGTAGCAACAATACTCATCACAAGAAAAGATCTTCTCATTAGCGAATTCAATCGTAACGTAGTAGGTGAAGAAAATATATTATCTTTTTGATTAGCATAATTCTCAAAGCCAAGCCCTCGTTTTGCAAACTTAGTCCACCTTTTTACAATGTACTATGAAGGGATAGATGTTACATCCATATCAATATGCAAGACTCTTAAAGCATGGCAATATAACAAACCCATAGTCTCAAACTTGTGACAATTACAAGAAATATTAGAATCTTCTACATCAAATCGTATAACATCCCCATCTTGCATGGTGTAACACCTCCGTTCTCATCTAAATAATAAAAATAAATTTAAAATTTCATCATTTATATATTTGACATTAATTATAATATGTTAAGCAATAACAAATATATCATGAAAAATATAAATTTACTCGTTTGAAGAGTCATATCCTTTACAATTAAAATCACAAACTTATCGTGAGGACCTTAAAAAAAATTCTCTACTTTCCTGCAATACAATATTAGACATTTATGTTAGAAATGCTTTCCTTGACACATCGGTGACATGAACATTGAAAAAATACTCAAGACGAGTAGAAAATTTTAGAATGAGAAAAGGGGAGGGGTGTTAATATTTGAAATACGTTACACTCGTTATTCGATGCAAAGGAATTCCTTAAGGATAATCTTCGGTGAAACTTTGGTTCTATTCCTAGAAAGACTAGCAACACCGGGATGCATTTTTTTTGTGAAGAGAACTTCATTAAGTTCGTCTCATCCAAAAAAGTACAAAACTAAAGAATCAACGTTTTCTTGAACCCCAATAGCATTCCCCGCCACGAGGGAAAGAACAACTCTTAGCATGACCATGACATGAAACATAACATAAACCCACTAAAGAAAGAAAGTCACATCCTTAGTCCGAGTAACAAAATGCATTTGTATCTTTTTTTCTCTATTTCTCTTATTCCATTCTTCTAATAGGTGCTTCATCAAAGGTTCAATAACAATAATGTCTATTAATTAACACCCTATGAATATAAATTCCCTTTAAGCACTAAACAAAAACCCAATCCATTCTAATTGATTCTAGCCACTCAAACCGTGCAAAAACCAAAAAAAAAAAAAAAAGAACGAAAAGGAAGTTTCGGAGTAACATAGTTAATGATCTTGTTGAAATATAAAAAAGATTTACTCAAATCATGATCTTGCAAGCTATTCATGATATGCTTAACAATAAAAAAGAACATATAAACTAATTCTCATGTTGTGTCTCACTTCAATTAAAAACCTTTGTGACAAAAGAATTGTAGCCATTGACCTAATTCCCTTGTTGTTTCTCTTCTCTTTGATTAGAAACCTTGTTGTTTCTCCTCTTCAATAAGAAAGATTGGCAAGAAAAGAATTACGACCAACCGACCTAATTCTTGTTTCTCTTCTCTTCAATTAAAAAGAACGAGTAAATTTTTTACGACCACCAAACCACCGGTTAGTCCCGTAATTTTTGGGCTGCAAGACAACTTTTCACACCTTTTTTTTTTTTTTTAGGGTTATTGGCTGCAAGACAAATTTTATAAAGCTTTTTTTTTAAAGTATTCCACGTCATATTATTCTTAAAGCCACATGTACGACAAAATTAATGACATGGCGAGTTGAGATTTATAAAAGATGGAGTAACTTATCACCTCGCCACTAGTTACTCTTGGAGTATTATAAAATTCCTCTTAGAAGCATGATTTATGTAACAAACCTTCCTATGGGAATAATCCTAAATACCTTTTATACCATCTACTATAAATTTCCTTCTCCATATCAATTTTCGAGGTCCGTATATATTTAGCTTTTACCAATTTTTGTGCTTTATATTATAAAGTCCACTCACTTTAATTTGATTATGAACTAAAAACCGAATAAAGTACAAGTCCAAATGCTAACCAATAATTGAAATGAAAAATTCTACGATATTGTTGTTGTTCGATAACCGGGAATGAATAGTTCGAAATGAAAATGAAGAGATAAGAAAGAAAAATAAAAAAATAAGAATAATAATTTAAATCCAATTATTGTGTTTGGCAGGAAAAAAATCTAAATAATATAATATATTTATCATTGTATCATTCAATATCCATAACAAATTTTGTCGGAAAAGCAATTAAAGTATATAAAAAGATATATGAAGTTTTTTTTTTCTCTTTACAAACAAACTAATTGTTTTATAGACAAGTAGCAAAGCATAATTGGAGCGACTACATAAGTAGGATATGAAAGAAATAAAACAGACCTATGAATCAATTTGTAATTTAATAATTTTGAAAATAAATACTCATTTAAATGTAATTAACAAATCCATCTTCCAAATGCCGTACCCACTGCCAATGAAGAAAGAAAAAGTTACGAGGAACATTAACATTCTACGCAAATGCATGGCTTATGCGTCCCTCTCAATAACTGCAAAATGTGTCAAGTATCATGACCAGCTCTTGTAGCAAAGCATTAATTATTCTATCCATAACAAACTATTTTTATAATGATAAATTAACAAGCAAATTAAGAGAAGGGAAGAGGGAAAGAGGTAGACAAGATTTGCATTGTTGGAAAGCAAATTCTAGTCTTGACTTGGTAGATCTTTTTTTTTTTTTTTTTTTGAGTGTCCAGAGCTAGCTTACGCATACCTTAACTAATCTCATAGGTCCCGAAGTTAATGATCATGTAAGTCTCCAAGTAGCCATCAAGGGAGCAATCGGGATTCGAACTCGAGATTACAGGAGGAGCAAACCCTCGATACCAAGTTCTTGTTGTTGCGCCGCCCTGATGGTATGACTTGTTTCTACACTATAATGGTCAATAAAACCTATTATCAAAGTTTCCTATTGCTCATTTTTTATTATCAAACCACGACTAAACGAACAAAGCCTAATAATAAGAGATGATAAGCATACTGAATCTAAAGTACTATTTTCGTATTTCATTGAACGGACGAGTTGGCATTAACGAGAATCGCTCAAATGGGGCTATACACCAAAATTGTACCGAGTGAGTACCATTGAAGCGAAAATCAAGAAGACAGTCCTATTGGTGGAACTTACACCTGCCGGCCAATTAATGTCTGTCTGGTCTCATTCACTACCTAGACCAAAAAAAAAACCTGTGTTCTTCTGGTCCCATCGCACCAGTCGCTAGGTGTTGTCGGTCCCACTCGAGCAGAATCTAACTCTAATGCTACACGATGCATTTTTCTAACAAAAAAATTCAAGGCAACGACTGTTCGCTAAAAGATGGCTCTTGCTAGGAGTTTTCATTTTCAAAATTGATTTGAGATAGGTGAAGATACCACCAAATTTCATAAAAGAGGATATAATGGCCGGCAAGCATAGAAACCAAGAGCCTCACCAAAACCAGTTCATGACTAACCATTCGATTAAAATTACAACATATATTAAAAAGAGGATAGATTTCACTGTAGCTAAACACTACTATAGTAAGATCCAAACTGCGTCGTTATGGGTTAGACAATGCTACAGCTTCATAAAAAAATTATCAAGCCATTAATTTTATTCTGTTACATATATATATAACAGGATATATGTAATGAGAATTGACAGAAGAATGGTAGAGCCTGCCTCTCGTTTGACAAAATGATAAAGTTTCTACTGCATATGCTTCTTTTTCTAGTCATTCCACAATAGAAATTGACAAAACAAAAGAACGTACGGTGTAACATGCATTTTTTTGACAAAAAAAAAAACTACCATTTTGTACTCATTCTCTCTTTGGGAACATGCATATCAGCATTATTTAAACAACCATATCAAGAAGACAGTCCTATACTCTCTCTCTCTCTCTATATATATATATCACCGCGCAATCTTTATGATGTGCAATTATTTGTGGAATTTCACCTAAGTATTGTTTCCAATGAATTTGATAAGGACCGAATGGCTTCCAAATGAGCCACGTGGGTATCCTCCAAAAATGCTTCAATGGCCCTAACAAAAAGGGGTTCTCTAGTTGTGTAAATTAAACTGGCTGGTCCAATTAAAAATGACCTCATCATTCATGAAACCTAGCCACCCAGTCCAAAAATCTCAGGCGTCCATTCCGGTTGCCTACCCATCTAGTCCAGAAGCCTCTGCAGCCTAGGAACCTCAAGCATCTATCATGTATACCATCTTTCGCTTACCTGGCCACACGGTCTAGGAGCCTCAAGCATCCATCATTTGCCTACTACACCACGTTTCTTTGGAAACTTTCAGCCATATTCCTCCAAGAATCCATGTCCTTTCGAGAATTTGAAGCAATGTTCCTCTAGAATCCAATGACCATCTTGCGAAGATATAAAGACAATATTCCCAAAATATTACTAAGAAAAAGACGTGGGGTTCTGACTGTTCTTTTCCCTGTTCACAACTTTTATTATATATATATAGGTATATTGTGTTTCAACTACTAGAAAGCAATTGCAGTCCATTGGTTAAGGATATTGTTTTCCAAGTAAGGGGCTCGGGTTCAACTCCCATCAGCGCATTTTGCTATAAATTTATGCTTTCATTTTTTATTTCCTGTTCATTCACTGTTTGCCTTTCATCATCCTTTTTTTTTTTTTTTTCGCTTAGCCAAGGTTTTAGGAAATTTTTAATTTTGATCCCTTTTTTTAATATTTTTTATTTTGATCACTAAAAATTTATTGTATTTGATTTTTTTCCCTATAAATTTTTTTTTAGGCTTTTAGTAAAAATTTATGTTCTTTTTTTGTTCTTATCTTATGATATATTTTTATTTTAATCATTAAAGTTTTATCATGTTTGATTTTTATCCTTACTACACTAAAACTCAATATTTTATTATATTTGATTTTTTTCCTTATAATAAATTTTTTTCTTGGTTTTTAGTAAAAATTTATGTTTTGTTTCATTCTTATTTTGTGATAAGTTTTTATTTTAATAATCAAAGTTTTATCATATTTGGTTTTTATTCTTACTATACTAAAACTAAATAAAGTTTACTATCCTAAATTTTTTTATACTATTCACTCTTTTTTTTTATTTTTTTATCCTCACAATGTACTATTCGCTCTTAGGTTTTTTTTTTTTTTTTTTTTTTTTGTAATTTTCACTCTTACTGTTTTGTTCTTAGGTTTTTTTTTTTTTAATTTTTAAATTATTTCGTTTTGATCCCTAAAATTTTATTAAAAGAAAATGGGAAAGTGTTGTAGCACTTTTCCTGTTCATTCATTGTTTGCCTCTTTTTTTTTCGATTGCTTAGCCAAGCTTTTTAAAAAAAAATTATTTTTGTCCCTCGTTTTGTAATATTTTTTTATTTTCGTCATTAAAAATTAAGTATATTTGATTTTTATCCCTATAATAAATATTTTTTCTTATCTTTAGTAAAAATTTATGTTCTTTTTTTGTTCTTATTTTGTGATATGTTTTTATTTTAGTCATTAAAGTTTTATAATATTTGATTTTTATCCTTACTATACTAAAACCAAATATTTTATTATATTTGATTTTTATCCCAATAATAATTTTTTTTATTGGCTTTTAGTAAAAAATTATGTTTTTTTAATTCTTATTTTGTGATATATTTTTATTTTAGTTATTAAAGTTGTATAATGTTTGATTTTTATCCGTGTTATAATAAAACTAAATAAAGTTTACCATCCTAAACCTTTTTGGTACTATTCACTCCTTCTTTTTTTTTTTTTTTAGCCTCACAATGTACTATTTGCTCTTAGGTTTTTTTTTTTTTTTTACTCTTAGTTTTTCTTCTTTTTTTTATTAGGTTTTTTTTTATAATTTTTAAATTATTTTGTTTTGATTTTTGAAATTTTAAAATAAAAATTTTAATCCCTAGCCGATGCACTAATAGCCTTTTTTTTTCCTTTGATTTTTTCCATCAATTTATGGTCTTGTTTTATTTAATTGGGTGTTAAAATTTTTAAAAATCAATCGTTACTTTTTTTACCACACAAATCGACGATTATATAATATATATCGATTAGATGTATGTACTTTAAAAAATAATCTTCTCATCAACATTAAATAAGAATAAAATTTTATTTTTTCATTGTTTAATTTTTATGCAAGTCTATTCATTAATTGTAACTTTATTTTTTTTTTGGATATATACTTATAAAAAAATATATTTTTAAAGCATTTATGTTTAAATTCTTAATTAATATTTCGTGTTTCAATTATATATTACTAGTTTTTATATAGGAATCTCTAAATAAAGAAAACTAAATCATATTTTTTGAAACAAAAATTTTATGAAAAAAAAAACAATAATAATTAAATAAAAAATTAATGCAAAAATTATAAAATTTGAAATAGTTTTATTCTATCTACTCGTAGTATTGCCCAAATAATTTCAAAAATTAATCTTTTCATCAGCAACTAATAAATTTTTTTCCCCATTTGTTAGTTTTTGTAAAAGTCTATCTATTAATTATAACTTTATTTTTTGAAATACAATATTATGAAAAATATATTTTAAAATTTTTTTAATTCTTTATTAATATTTTAGTTAAAATCAATTCATAAAAAAGAATGAATTATGTTTTTTTAGCAAAACACTTTATATAAAAAACATTAGAAAAAATTAATTACATAAGAAATTATAATAAAAAAATTTTAAAATGATTTTGTTTTATCAAATCCGCACCATGGTGTGAGCAATCAGATTTTACTTTAGTTTATTAAGGTATAAAGGCATCCCTTGTCTAGATATAAAGGCATCACATCACTCAATACAGAGGACCATCTTGCCTAAATACAAAGGCAATATTTCACAAGTTATCAAAATATAAAGACACAGCTTACACAAATATAAAAACAACACACTACCTAATAAAAATGATCACCGTCCTCAACAAAACTTTAGAGTCATCGCATTACATTCCATACATCATACCTATGTGTCCACCTCGGGAAGACAAATTAATTGCACTTGGATAGAACTCACCTTTGATTTCCTCTCAGGAAGCACCTTGGACTCCTCTAATTCCATCTTGAGTAGTACTTTGAACTTCTCTAATTCCATCCATTCTATCCTGGGTAGCAGTTGGGACTCCCTTGTTGATTTCATCCCAAACAGCAAATTAGGCTCCCATTATATAATCTCAGATGGCACCTTCGACTCTCTTCATCTCATCTCGAGTAGCATTTTGGACAACACCTTCGATAGTATCTGGCACCACCATCTTGGGTCGCACCTTGGCTAGACACCCAGCTAGAAACCTCAAGCATCCATTTTCTGCCGATCGGTTAACATACCGGTTGCATCTAATGGGTCGTACCTTCAAAATTCTAGTTTGTCCTAGCAAATCATTGTACAAATACGATGAGTCGCATCTATAAAACTTTTGTTCATCCAAATTACATAATATGAGAAAATTATTATGCCTCAAACCCAATGAACCTCATTTTGAGATATCAACACAATTGATGAAATATAAAATTTGAACTCCCTAACAAAACCCACCACCTACCATGATGGGTTTTCTCATAACTATAGATTCTCTCTTTTTCAGCTACTTGGCCCAATACACTAAAGGTATGAATTAAACCTCTACATTTTTTACTATATAAAAGGGTTCTTCTCTTCATTAAATATAACATAAATAACAATCACATATAAAAATAGAAATGAACCGGATATAAAATGAATATTCATTTTATTTGACTCAATAAATATTCATTAAAAATATCCAATGGATATTGAAACGAGCAAAAGTAAAAAAGTACATACCTACTAATATGGTTTCATCATACGAGTACTCACTCTTTATCTTATTAATAATAATTGATTTATTTAGTTTTTTTATTAACATGTAAGGATTTAATTACATAAAATTTAAAAATTAAGGATCAAAATATTTTTTTCAAATACTTTAAGGACCAAAAAATTATACATAAATTACCAAATGTAAAAAAAAAAATTAAGGTTAAAATTTTTTTTAAAAAAAATTACAAGAATTAAAATGAATATTTTTTATAAATTAAATTTAGTAAGTATTTAATAGATATTAAATAAATGGTAAAATAGTGTAGATCAGATATAAATTGGATGAATATTTATATAATAATTTCTTAATAAATAATAAATAAAATAAAAAATTAAATTAATTAACTAGATATCCTTCCATTGTCATTGTTAATTACGCGTTCCAAAGTTAGCTTTCCTCTCCTTCTCTTTCACTCTCTACATGATATATCATATAATATTTAATAGATAAAACGTAGGTGACATATCCAATCACATCCCTGCATGTGTCATCTTTAATGAATGACGTGGCAATATTAATGGCGGACATTTAAACCTTTGAACCACTGTGACTCTCGACATTCACCCATACTTCCACGTGCCTGTGGTAGGATGATGATATGGCAAATGACCAGACCAACGTTATAAATACTCTAAAACACAAGGATATTTTACTGTTCATATTCATTGTTCAATGAACATTGTATTTTCGATTGGCTCTTTTTGTTTTTTCTCTAAAATACTTTACTGTTGACTTTTTCCCCCCTGTGCTGGCCTTTCTTCAATTTTTTACAAGCAAGTTTTTTTTTTTCACATCAATTTAGGTTCTTTTTTATTTAATTTTTTAAAAATTTTTAGGTTTATTTTATTTTGATCTCTAAAATTTTAAAATAAAAATTTTAATCTCTTAACCGATGCACTGCATATGATTTTTTTCCTTTGTTTTTTAATTTTTTTTATTAATTTATGTTCTTTTTTAATTTAATTAGGTGTTAAAATTTTGAAAAATCAATCATAATTTTTTTTATACAAATTGACTATTATATAATATATACGATATTTTTTATATTTATATGATATATTCTTTTTTCTTTTTTTTTACTTAGGGGTTCTCTTTATAAATTTCATAAATTTATTTTTTTATTTAATTAGGTATCTATATATCCGTAGCGTTGTGTAAATAATTTCAAAAATTAATCTTCTCATTAATATTAAATAAGAATTTTTTCTCATTCGTTAATTTTTGTAAAAGTCTATCCATTAATTAAAACTTTATTTTTTGAAATACAATATTATAAAAACTATATTTTAATTTTTTTAATTCTTGATCAATATTTTAGTTAAAATTATTATATTTTTTATTTTAAAATAATTCCATAAAAGAGAATGATTTATGTTTTTTTTAAAACAAAAAATTTATAAAAAAAATTACAAAAATTAAGTGAATAAAAAATTATAATTAAAAAATTTTAAATTTTTAAATAATTTTTTTTAATTGAACTCGTTGCGTAATGTAGGAAAGTGACTAGTGATCTCTAAGATGTGAAATAATGACAACCATGTCTGAAATAGGATGATGATAAGGCAAATGATAAGACCTCTAATTAACCCGAACACAACATATGGCCTCCGGAAGGCTTTCCCCAAAGCCAGATGCTCAAAGTATAGGCTGGCTGTGATTATAGTCATTTAAGATTGAGGGAAGAGACGAGTGATAAAACATTTAACTTCTCCGAATAAAAGGTGAACTGGCCAAGTGGACTCTCGAAGCTTGGAAGAGAATCAAGTCTTTACTATAACAATAGCCAAAACTTAGAGGTGCAACTGATATATCCAGGATACTTATGGGCTTTAGGGCCCAATTCAAGGATGACAAGTGGAAAAACTATGGCTCAAATATATGACATTGCATCCAAAAAAAGTCCGAATAGCCAAGGTCCACCCGAACTATCCTTGGACGAGCAACTAAGATTATCTTTGGTCTGTTAGCCCACAATCAAGAAACATGAAGTGTATTCGTTAGATAAAGGCACATTTTTAAGGTCATTTTTGTCCAATCAACAACAAGCATGACAACATCATATTTATTCAGTAATGATCTATCAATATCAGAGATCCTTATCCCTTAATCAGAATCAAAAGTTATTGATAATAAAAGAATATATGATTTCACCCTTCTCTCCATGCAATTTGATAACTCTTATGGTTCTATAAAAAGTCATGAGACTTAATGTAAGAACATCTGAATCTTCTTCTTCAAAAAGAACCATTCTCTTAATACCATCATCATTTATCATATCTTTCATCTTTACACTACTATCTTTCCCCTATATACTGACTTATTCAATATTGAATGGCCCTCCATCCAACTAGAAAAAAAATGTCTGCATCACTGTCATCAACCAACGAACTCTTTAGTTGCACTAGCTAAAAAAATTCACCTCATTTTTTGAAGTTTACAACTTCATCAGCCTCATCTCTAGTATCTCCACTAGAAGTCATCCTAGGATTGCCTCTTGAAGCATCACCTTAACCCAACTCTCTCTAAGCTAAATATTAATGACTTGAACATTCAAAAAGAAAAAAAAAAAAAAAAATAGCAGCCTTCGTATGCTTGTAGTACACTTAACTCGTTCATGTCAATATCATGAATTTGGAAACATTATCTTTTAATCACATGCCTTGAAGATCGTATGATGTTCTACTCTTTAAAACTTCTTGTCTTTTGTGCTTCATCACTTGCACATCTTGAAATAGTTGTATGAGCTGTTGCTTATATACAATTCATGTCTTTTTCAAATAAACCAAACAAATTAATATACTGCTTGGATGTGGAGACATTAACCTGTTAGACTATAAAGTATTATTTATTACTACTGCTTTGTCAATGCTGACTCAAATGGTTATTAGTTTAGAAAAAAAGAAAAAAATATCATCCTTGATGCCTCTACTACTCCAATAATTCAGAATTTGTTCTTCAGTTTTTCCCAAATCTGGCATGAGAGAAAAATTGACCATCTTTTTTTAACAATTTGATAGCTTCATAAATCATTGCTGGTATATTAATATTAAAACCCTAGCGTTTTTGTGGGACACATGAATATTAAATCAGATTGCCTTATTCTCTATCTCAAGGGGCAAGTTGGCAGCTACTACAAGTACCATAGTTATATCTTAGATCTTAATTTTTCTCCCTACCTGGTTTTGCTGCAATGGCTGAACCTGGTACTTCAGCATCCACTAAGAGGATGTTTTCGGTGTCTGAAGGTGCCAAGCTGCACATAGCCATGACTATCTTTCAGTTAGGTTATTCAGGGAATCATGTGATCATGAGGGCTGCACTTAACATGGGAGTAAGCAAGCTTGTTTTCCCCATTTATAGGAATATTATTGCTGTGGTTCTGCTGGTTCCCTTTGCTTATTTCATAGAGAAGTATGTGGTTTGAATATCTACTAGTATGTATTTTTGAGCGGCATGGATAATTTCAGATCTGCCCAGGTATCTAATTCTCTTACAAGTTTTGTTCTTGTTTATATATGTAGGAAAGACAGGCCAACACTAACTATTTCTCATCTGATACAATTCTTCCTCCTTGGATTTGTAGGGTATGATCTATTATTCATAAAATACAGATATCAAAAAATAGTATATCATGGCAAAGTTTGCATAATTCAACTTCCTATCCCATTCTTCTCTAGTTTATTTATTTATTTTTTGTGACAGGATAACATTCAATCAAGGATTCTACCTATTTGGTTTGGACAACACCTCACCTACATTTGCTTCTGCGACAGAGAATGCTGTGCCTGCTGTGACCTTCATCTTGGCTACCTTACTCGGGTAAGAATATATAGCTTTTCATCCCTCCCTAATTTGACTTCAGCAGCGTGAATATGTTGGTTTGATGTTGTATATATTTTGGTTTGCAGATTAGAGCAAGTTCACCTGAACCGTAGAGATGGCATAGCCAAGGTGCTTGGAACTCTAACTTCCTTCATTGGAGCTTCTGTCATAACTCTCTATAAGGGACCAACAATATATGGCCCAAACTCACCTTCAGAGCAATCACATTTGATGTTTGCATTAGGAGATGCCAAGACAAAGAACTGGACCTTGGGTTGCATCTGTTGTTTTGGTCATTGCCTATGTTGGGCGAGCTGGATTGTGTTACAGGCATTTGTCTTGAAGAAGTACCCAGCTCGGTTTTCAGTTTATTCATTCACTTGCTTCTTCGGTGTCCTGCAATTTCTGGCAATTGCAGGCTATTTTGAGAGAGATTCCCAGGCATGGCATGTGCACTCTGTTGGTGAACTCTTCACCATTTTCTATGCGGTGTGTAAATCGGAACCGATATGGTGATCTTTTAATTTAGTGTGCTTGCTTTGAACTTCGTGATTGTTCTGTTTTTTTGAAAGGATTGGTATGAGGTATTGTTTAATTTAATATCTCCTACACTGCAAGAAGTTGCTCACTTTTGTGTAGGACTAATACTATAGACTTGTGGCTGCAGGGATTGGTTGTTTCAGGAATGGGATTTGCTATACAAATATGGGTCATACAGAGAGGTGGACCAGTGTTTGTTTCAGGCTATCTGCCTCTTCAGACCATGCTTGTGGCTGTAATGGCCTCCATTGCTCTACATGAAGATTTCTACTTGGGAGGGTGAGTTTCATTGCCTATACAACTAATCAATTTTTTGTACCTCTTTGGATCTTTTCTTTCAAACTTGTCAATCATATGCTATAGAGCTATCATTTGTTAATTCAGTTTGTCGAATATTCTTACAGAATTGTAGGAGCCATGCTAATTGTAGTTGGACTTTACCTGGTTGTTTGGGGAAAAAGCAAAGAGACCAAGCTTGCCACAGAAAAGGATGCGATTTTGATATCATCTGATGACAGTCAGGCAAAATTTCCAGGCAAATCCTCTCTGGTCCAACCCTTACTTAACTCTGGGGAATAATGTAGGCTGCTTTCAGAACAGGGCCAGCAGCAACTTTTGTAAATGAACTGATGAGTTATGGACTCATAATAAAGTGCTTCAATATGGCAATATGGAACGAGCAAGTGGCATCAAAGAACTTCCAATCACTGAGGAACTGGGATGCAATTCATTGATGGAGAAAGCCAAGAAATTCTGGCAGGTTTTATGGTTTTCACAAAATAGCAAATGACATGTAAGTTCACTAATCACAGCTTTAGCTCTTGCATACTGTGATTTTCAAATTTGATCAACATGTTAATCAAATTTCAAGGCATTTGATCCATGTTCTACTTCCTCATATGTGAGGGGTGCATAATCTAAAGTGAGAGTTTGTGACATAGCAGAAAGGGCCATGCCATATCACTATCATGGCCTTGTCTGCAAACTTTGACAGCCTCTTTTTTTCTATTTTCACTATCTAATGCTCGTTGGGAGAATGTTGTAGAACCTGGCCAGAAGTTGATGAAGCCTGAATACGAAATTTGAAATCCTTTGACTGGTGCTGGAACGTGCTACTATGCTTGGTTCCACTGTCAAAGATATCATCGTTAATGAATCACAGATGCAACCTTTAACAAATTAGATATAACATGTCTTGATTGGGTTCATCTCTACAGTATCTAGTTTTTCCTTAATTGATCAAGGAGATCTTGCCATTGTAGCTGATATAAATCTCTCTTTTTCTCGGCCATTTGGGTGTCAAGCAGACACTGTGGTGCTTATCTCAACAAATCAAGCTATATATATATATATATATATATATATATATATATATCCGGAAACTTATGCTGAAAAACAGGAAATTCTAAAGGTGAAGCTTCTAAGTTCAGACCAAGGGAAATATGCCCGTTTATATTGGTTTTATTGTGTCCTCGTAAGGACACATCTGACTTTTGAACGAGCATAGAAGTAATAAGAGTCTAAACAAAATCCATTCTTGCAGTATTTACTTTGTATGCTGTAAACAGCATAATAGTGCCTAGCTGACTCCTAGTCCTAACAAAAGGTTCATGAAAGGAAATTCCAAAACTATAACTCTAAACCATGTTGGTAGCAGAACTGCGCTCTTCTGCTGGATGCCAATGCCTATTGTAAAACCACTGAGAATCAGCAGCAACACGTTCGCTGTCATGGTTACGGTGCCAAGTATAATAAGCATGAGTCCGATTTTTAATCTCAAGCGTTGCATGTCCGAAGCTTGCTTCTCGAAAGGCAGAGTAATCAGGCTGTGGTTCAGTGAAACTGCATGAAACACAGGATAACCAATCAGAGTCATTACTCATTAGACAGCTTACGCTTTTGTAGAAGATGGAAGTAAAGAGGTTTTGCTGTTCACCTGTTAGCTATGCCTTCAATGTTTCCACCATCTCCAATGGTTATGTATACTGGTGCTGAAGGATCCTTAACCGGTGCACTTAGTCCATCTGTTATGTTGTACCTCACATTTGATATTCTCTCCTACAATACCAAAGAGGGTATCAAAAAATTAAGGTGAGAGCATCGTCCACTGTTATCTTCTGATGCCAAATCTTTTCAAATGCATGCATTGTTCCGCTAAAGATTCCGGTAGCAAATTTTTAGGTGGGAAGAAACTTACTGAACGTTCATATGAATGTACATGACCAGCCAACACAAGATCAACCTTGTTTTTGACAAACCATGGCTCAAACATAACTCTCATGCTTTCTCCTTCCATATAGTGGTAGTTATTGCTGTTGTACCATGGAGAGTGAAGAAGAACAATCAGCCATGGAGTCTCGGCTCTATTAACCTTGGGGAATTCTTGTTCAAGCCAATTGTATTGTGGTGTATATTTACCTGCACAAGCAACATACAGCCTCATTTTGTTTCTGCTGAAATTGAGGGCTATAGAATTATAAGATAAACAATAAAATGTGTATGCAGATCAGGAATTTTATACCATATGCAGAGTAAGAAGAAAGGACAATAATGTAGGCAGATGCGCGCTTGATGGAATACCAGAGCGGAGATGTACTTTGCGATGCCCTGTATGGTACATGGTACCGATACATATATGGCTTAAAAGGAGTGTATTCACCCTGAAAAAAACATGAATTTAATCCCATCATCAATACAATTAAAACTTGAAACCAAGGTTATTAACATCATTTAGCATTGAGCTGATCTAATGAATTAGTTTCGCCGACTGATCAGTTTAAAATGTCTTACAATCTCTGGAGCAAAATCAAGTTCATGATTGCCAGCAGTCCAAATCCATGGCTGATATGCAGTGCTCTTTTCGACAAAGCGACCCCATGAATCCCACCTCAAATTGTCATGGAAAGGATAATGGTCTGCATAAGAAAGATCACCAACAAACAACACGGCTTGCCCTTTCGGATTGGACATGTAATGTTCTAATGTGCTGTTAGAATCGAATGTTTGTCCCAAATCACCTGCAGAGAAAAAGAAGCTGTGTATCAACATATGCTGCTAGTGAATTGAGATAGAAATAGAAATTAATATTACTGATACTTGCCGATGATCCCAAACGTGTATGGCACGTCAGGTCCTGCTTTCGGAGGAGTAACAAAGGAAAACCGGCGGGTTGATTCTCCAGTTCCGAGTTCATAGAAGTATCGAGTGTCATACTGCAATGGCATATTAGATAACAGAAGTTTCATGTTAGTCACACTATTTCTATGAAGAGTAGAATGGAAAAGCAAAACCCTATTGAATAACCAACCTCTAGTCTCTTAATGGTGGCGTGGTGAATGTAGCCAGAAGTATAGTTATAGTATCTGTAAAACGTAGTAGTGGAATGTGTCTTGTGCTTGTGCCTATGATTTCCCTCTGCTGCCCAATATGTCACAGTATTCGGGTGACGCTCGAGTGGTGTCACCCACGAAATAATAACACCTCTACCACCATGATCTCCTTGAGTTATGTGAACCTGCAAAATTGTCAAACAATCATAACAAAACTATAATAAAAAAGACGAAAGGCACAAAATTATGGGGTGCATGGTGACAGGATACCTGCTCAGGTGCATTATAACCAGAAGGCTGACGGAAAGCATGAATCGGCATGTCAATTGATGCTTCAGGTTTCCTAACGTAAAGACTTGTGACCCCTCCATGGCACAACCTAGCAATGTTAAGCAACAAAAACAAGACTGTTGCAGCACCGGTAACTGTGAAGAGCATCGTAGCTAAAGAGAGCAGTGATATCAGGCAGGCACTTCAGGTTTGTTTTTGCATTCTACCACAGCAAAAGAGAGGGTAGTGCTCTATTTATTATCGTAGGTTCGGTTAGATGTGGGCTGATACTGAGCAGATTTTGTGTGGTTTTGGCATGAATAAAGCACGGAATATTCTATCGGATACCAGATGACTCTTTTGGAAGACAAATTTATCTTCTATTTCTTTTATTTTTATTCCATGATAAGGGTAACTATTAATTAAGTAGTTTTGGATATATACTTGTTAGTTACCTAGTCTAACATTATCATCAGATCTGATTGCCTGAAAACAAGGAAAGGGATTCTGCTCCTCGTTCAACATTCTTCCGTTTTGTTCTTACGGAAAAGGAAGCCTTAGTGATGAACCCACCAGGTCCAATGAAATCTGCACGAAAGGACCTGTCCATTGAGTCCAAATGTTCTTTTAAGGTTATTAATAATGGGCCCATAAAAAATAATACTCCCTTGGTACATAAAAAATTGGTCTCTCTTTCTATTTATATATATTTCGAAATAATTATCTAATCAAACCTTTAAATACTGTAGTTTCTTAAAATATCCTTAATCAATTCTTGCTTTTATTTCTGATTTTTTACTAAAATAGAAAATTATTATTCTTTAAACTTTTATTTTACACGAACAAATATTTTTAATATAAAAAAATTCAAAAGAAAAGTTTTTATTACATGAAAACTATTTATGTTATAGAAAATTTAGGATTCTTTAACGATATTTAGATCTTTCCAAAAAAAAAAAAACCCAACTTAAATTTGGGAGGAAAGAAAATTTGATTTGGCGCCTTGATTTTTGTACTAATTTTTTGGCATAAAATTTCATGAGAAATTTAGGAAGGCCTAATGATCTTTGGATCTTTTTAAAATTTCCCAACTTAAATGGGAAGGACAAAAATCTTGATTTGATGTCTTGCTTTTGAAACTAATTTTTTTGGCTTAAAATTTTATGAAAAATTTTGGATTCGTTAATAATCTTTAAATTTTTTTAAAAGTTTTTTTTTTTCGAACTTAAATTAAGGAAGAACAAATGTTTTAATTTGGCATGTTGATTTTGAAAGAGCTTAAGGATCTCCATATCTTTTTAAAAATTTTGAAACTCAAATTTGATAGGATGGAAGAATGTTTTTAAAAAAATAAAGATAAAAAATCTAATATGTTATAATAATTAATGTATTCTTTAAATCGTGTGAAAAGTAAAAAAAGATTAATATTTTGAAACACATAAAGTAATATAATTTAGAATATCTAACTTGTTAAATAAAGATTGGAATCCGTAATTACATCATAAAACAGTATTAAAATATTAATAATAATCTATGATTTATAATATTTAATGAGAATAATACTATTTTTATTCTTAATTTATACGAGAATTCAGTTCCGTAATCAAGCCCTTATTTTTTCACACTATTTAACATCTCAAGCAAATCGCGTATCTTTTTATTTAATGCCAGATTGAAAATTGTTGTTTGTATAAAATAGAAAATGCTTGCATGGGAGGAACTAATGAGGGCCAAACGACTGAGCGCTGGCTGTACATCTTTGGAATGCATGATTGGTCGTTTAACATGTGGAATTTTTTCTTTACGAGAGAGGTAAGCGTGGCAGTTCTGATTTGTGGTGTGGATGGTTCCTTCCTTCTTCTTATTCTTCTTCTTTCAAACTAAAAAAAAAAAATCAATCAAAAATTGCTCTCTCTGTGATTGGATCTCTCTTTCCCTTGTCATCTAAAAAGGTAATTCGATTCGACTCTTCACTTGGCCTGATCTCAGTGATTCATTAATTCGTGTTTATTATTTATACCAAATCAGATCTTCCGATGATTTTGTTATCAATGATACAATAGTGGGTGATTTATGCAAAGTATTGAATCTAATTTTAATTTTACCTAGGGTTTCTAGTAATATATTTATGTATTTCTAGTTATAGATTGATTGCTAATTTTTTTATGCAGGGTTTGGCGATGGCAGAGAATGCGGATAAGGAGAATGAGATGATGTGTGAACAAGATTTTGGACTGAGTAAGCAGATTGATCCTACAAGAGCTCGGTTTCCGTGCTGCATTGTGTGGACGCCGCTTCCTGTCATTTCCTGGCTGATTCCCTTCATTGGTCATATTGGTATCTGTCGAGAGGATGGAGTTATTCTGGATTTTGCAGGGCCTAATTTTGTTTGTGTCGATAACTTCGCCTTCGGAGCTGTTGCTCGCTACATCCAGATAAACAAAGATAAGGTATACTTCCGTGCTTTTTTTTTCGGTATTTGAATCGGCTGTTATATTGATTGAGCTACCACCTGCCTTGATTTGGTTGGTGTTTGAACTGTGATTAATTTAAGCCGGAGGATTGGATATATTGTACAAGTTGCTGCAGGATGGGAGCTGTGTTTCTTTAAGAAGTGGATGATTATTGGGTATTTTTTAGCTCTTTTCTATGTCGTTAATCATACTGAGAAATTTTGGCAGGACTGTTCCATGTCTCTCCTTCCAACGGCATTCAACAATGAGGATCGATACAACGAGGATGAACGAGTTACAGATGCATTGGCATGGGATGATGCGTTACGAAAGGGAACGCAGGAGTTCCAGCATCACTCGTACAGCCTTTTCACTTGCAATTGCCACTCATTTGTTGCCAACAATTTGAACCGGCTCGGGTTTCATTCTGGCGGGTGGAATGTGGTGAACCTTGCTACTCTGATTTTCCTCAAGGGTCGTTGGGTTAGTACTGGAGCTCTGGTGCGATCTTACTTGCCATTTGTTGTTGTATGTGGTTTTGGACTCATATTTGGTGGTATGACCTTTCTAACTTTTCTGGCCTTCTTCACTTTCCTTCTTGTTGGTTGGTTTCTTCTTGGTACCTATTGTTTCAAGGATTTGATCCAGTTGTAGCTTCCTTTCCGAAATTTGATCTTCTTCGTGTATCAGAACCGTAATTCAGCAAACTTGAGTTCATTCAGGTGTGTACATAATTGCAATTGTGAAAATACTATAAGAAGCTCAGACAGATGTATTGAAGGTTATGATAGTTCAATTCTTCTCTGGACTATTTTCACTCATGTTAGTAACGTATCTTCATTCCTTTGGCTAGAAAACAAGACTCTACTGTATTTCTATTCCATGTAGCTTTTTTGCATCAGCTGTTGAAATTGCATAATATTCATAGTACTATTCTGTTATAACAATCTTTTCAAGACAAAACTCGCTTGAGAAATTAATCAAAAGTATGATTCTTCGTATGAAAAATGGAAGTCAAAATGTCATAGTCTGTAGTGGCAAAGCTTATGCTAAGGGGAGGGGAGCTTCCTTAACAAATGGCAGTTTGTCGGGTAAGCACAAATGATAAGCTCTAGCTAATAAGAGCTTGTTACGTCACCAATTCAATTATTCAATCTGGGCCTATCATGACACATAGCAAGCTATCATTGGTTAGAGTTTATCATATGTGCTCATATGGCATGTTAATGTCTGAAATAATAATATAAGAGTAGAATTCTTAAATTGTATATAAAAAAAAAACTTAGAATTTTAATAAAATTTTTTTGAATTGTATGAAATTTCGACTCTTGTAAAACCCGTTCATCGATTATGGAAACCACATTGTCATTAAATATAACTCTGCCTTATTGTGTTTTTGATCTGAGTTGATTCTTCCTTGACTTTGCTGTAAATTCAACGAAGAAAATGTATTTTTGTACTGAAAGTTCGACGACAAATTATGTGCAGAAAAAATAAAATCACCGTTTATGGGAGTTTTCAATTTGATTTTTGTAGCTCTCTTGCCGTGTAGTTGCTCTAGACCCTCTTATTCCCTCCTAGTATCCTAACTATTTAAAAATAAAATAAAATGATAATAATAATAACAGAATTGTCCATTTGGTTTGTGGAGAGAACATGCCCATCTCTATTATTCAAAAACAAAAAGAGTATTGTGCAATTTGACGTTTCTTTAGCTTTATGGTCAGTTTATCTAAACATTTTTTTTTTTAATTACCAGAATTATCTAAAAAAAGAAAAAGAAAATTCATTTTCTATTCTACTCTACCTACCAAATAAGCCAAAAAAAAAAAGAAATTCGTAAAGACTGTTGGACAGAATAGACGGTGAAAATACAAAGAATATATCCAAAAATTGTAAATGTTTGTGTACTTAATTGGAAAGTTAATAAACAGAAATTATGATAAAAAAATATATATATAGAAATTTAATCCGAAAGAATCAATCAATTGGCATTTAATACCAACGAAGATTACGTTGACGTCAGAGAAATCAAATCATACCTTCATTTCCCTTCAGAGAAATCCAATGGCCACAAATTAATCAAAGCAAAGAAACACATCCTCTTAACAGCCACGATAGTTCTCCCTCTATACGTTGCATGGATTTCTCCGCAACCTTAGTCCATATCAAAATGGTAACCATGTAATTTAATTAAAACGAAGCCCTTTTTACAGCCGCTTCTGTGTATTTAAAGCAACGTAAAAAATTAAAAAGAAAAAGAAAAAGAAAAAGAAAAAGGCAAGACAAAATCGAAGAAAGCTTATCCTTCTTGTGTGATAATCTCCGAGTCTGTTTACTTTGAAAGTTTCTAGAGAGGTCGAGAAATGGCAGCAGAAGACGGACAAGTGATTGGGTGCCACACTGTGGATGCATGGAATGAGCAGTTGCAGAGAGGAAATGAATCTAAGAAGCTGGTATTATTTATAATGTTCTTTTTTTTATTTTTTTTGTGTTTTTCGGTTTCATTTTTGATGTGTATTTAATGATCTTGTTTGTGATTTATGTTACTGGTTTTTTTTTTTTTTTGGACTCTGTTTATAGATCCTGCTTAAACTGGGTTTTATTGTTTTGTTTGGCAGTTTGTTTATTGGGTTTTATTTTCTGTGGCATTTTTTTTACAATGGGTTTGTTTTTGTTCTTTTTTTTTTTTTTTTTTTTTAAATCTAGTTAACCTAAGCCTCTGTTTTATTATGCTTTTGTTTTTGGATGACGTGGTTCGATTGATTTCTTTGTGATTTGGTAATTGGGCTTTCATCTCTTACTGATTTTTTTTTTCTTGATATTGATTTGCTCTGTTTAAAAGACTCAGGATTTTGGGAGATCATGAAAACCTGGAATTTATTTGCTGTTGTTGGAGCAAAAGATACTTGATTGCGATTGGAATTGAAAATGATTCTGTGATTTTGTTTTGATAGCTATAGGTGATTTCTTTGTTGGTATCTGAAATTGGAAAAGGATATGGTTTTTAAAGGAACCAACATAGGGAAATTATATTCCTCTCAGTTGGGCTCCATTAGTGGACTGGACTGCCTTTAGGGACCAAAGCATGACTGCTCTTGAATGACGAGTTGCTACTAGTGGGGTCCTGGGTTTGGTTTTTCTAATAGAGATCTTTGAACATCTTTCTGTCAAGAATAAAATAAATAAGTATTTGTTTTCCTTTCTACAAGGCAGATCTGTTGTGTTTTCCTTGGGCTAATTCACAAAATGTTTTCATAACTATATTACTAAACCTTTTTTTTTTTTTTTAACGAAGGTTTCCTATTATTCTTGCATGGTTATTTATTACAAGAGACTTACTTTTGTAGGAATTGGAGAAACAAGATGTCAATTTCGATTATGTTTCTATTTCATACATTTAGCTCTGTCGTTGATGCAGATGGTGATTGATTTTGCTGCTTCATGGTGCGGGCCATGCCGAGTCATTGCACCTTTCTTGGCTGAGCTGGCTAGGAAATTCCCTGAGGTTATCTTCCTTAAGGTGGATGTTGACGAATTGAAGGTAATGTTGGCTCAAAGTAATTATGATCTTTTTGTTAGGCTGAATTTTTGTGCTAATTGTTTGTTTGTTTTTTTTTTTTCTTTCCGTTTGCAGACCGTGGCTCAGGATTGGGCTGTGGAGGCTATGCCAACTTTCATGTTCCTGAAAGAAGGGACGATCGTGGACAAAGTTGTGGGAGCAAGGAAGGAGGAACTGCAGCAGGCTATAGCAAAGCACACAACCCCTGCTGCTGCTACTGCTTCTGCATGAAGCTGATACATTTGCATGTCGTTCTAGATATAAGCTTTTAGGAACTTGGATTCTGAACCTTGGTTTTTATATCTTTCAGAGTGTTACTGGCTGTGAATTTAAATTAAGCTCCTTTTCTAGTTTGTGTACTTCACTTTGCGTGATTTGTTGAATTATCATGGTTTTTTGCTTGAATGGTGAATTATCAATGGTTTTGCTATGACATGAATCCTTGGGTTCAACCCTACAAAAGTGCGGTACTTTTGGTAGTTGATTGCATTCTTGAAATTCAATTTTTGTTTGGAGGCATTTAGGAGCATCTTCACGAGTGATTGTGGAAGATGCCACATTACAGAGGGCTCATTGAGTTGTGAATTGTGATCTAAGAAAACAAGTTTAGATGGTATGTCCTCGGGGATTTCCTAAAATGCCCAATGCCCTTGTGTTCTTTAATCCCCCAACCAAAAAGGGACGAAGAGAATAAATGAGAAAGATAAAGGAGGAAGATTTGTCAAGATTTTTTGTTGCCTAATCTTTTTTTAATATTATTATTCTTCTTGATATTAAAGTTCGAGCTAATGGGCAGGCCTGAAGGATATGATTGATGATCGGACCAGGAAGCTTGGATGGCGGCAGTGTATGCTACAAATACGGGTCTACACGAATTCAGCTGTTCTTATCCTGCTAAAAAGAAGCCTAAAGCCCACGCATAGAACAACAAATCTCTCTCTCTCTCTCGGCCTTCGTAGAGGTAGTTAGGCCTCTCATGGGCCTCTGGTCCATGTTTTAGGCCCTTTGTTTTAAGCCTATAGTACCAACAACCCTTTTTCTGGCTTTTTGTGCATTTATGATTATGTATGTTGTTGTGTTTTTTATTTTAACCATCTTCAGTCTAAAACCAATATTTTGGTTAGTTTAAGCATGGTTTGTAAGATCCCATAAATATCGAAAATGTTACCACAACAACAGATGGAGACAAAGCCCAATTTGGACTACAATTTAAAAGCAGGCCGAGAATAAAAAGGCCTACCTAGGAGACAAAGTTAGCCCGATTAAGAGTAGGCCCAGTCTAAACTTAGTTTCTTTTAGAGGAAGAGTTATTCTGATGTTCACATTCACTTAAAAGCAATCAATTTTTTTAAAAAAAAATTATCAATGTGGAGATATTTTTCAATTCGGCTTTTTTTTTTTTTTTGGTATAAAATCATCCAATATTTAATTAAAAAAAAATCAAATTCTGGCATTGTTTAATCACGTAAAATAACGAAAATGTTAACGCATGCATAAGGGAGGATTAAATGATTGAGAAATAACTAATATTTTACTTTTAAGGGCTCAATAGAGATTTACTTTATATATATATATAGTGATTATTCCAAAGTCAACCTTCATATCAGTCGAAGCTAAATTGATCAGTCTTTGGGTTAGGTTAATTTCGAACGAGAACGATATTTAACTTTTGATTAATTGGATTTTTTGAATCTGAAGTAATGTATATTAAATATTATATGAATAAAAGGGAAAAAAAACTTTTTAGGATAAAAATTAAACTCCTGATCTAATTAGTAAGAAATATTTTTTGACTATTTCATCGGCATCCTTCTATCATCAATAGAAATTTACTTTAAGAAGAAATAAATTATTTGATTCCTCTTTTAGGATTTTTTTTTTTTTTTCAATAAAGACAGAGCATATAGAATTAAACAAAGTGATGGCAAAAGCCAAATATTAATAATACTCTAAAATATAAGGCACATTTATTATGCGTTTCACTGTTCAATAAATAGTGTTTTTCAACCTTTATTTTTTGTGGTAAAACTCTTTATTGTTTTTTTCCCCCTTTCTCGGCCTTTCTTCAACTTTTGACAAGCAAGTTTTTTTTTAAAAAAAAGTAGTTTAGTTTCATCTTTTTTTAGTTTGATTTCACTATACATGTTTTTTTCTTTTTTTTTTCCTCTTGCTTTTTTTCATCAATTTGGGTTCTTTTAACTTTTTAAAATTTTCGGGTTTGTTTTATTTTGATCTTTAACATTTTAAAATAAAAATTTTAATCTCCTAACCGATGCACCGGACATGGGTTTTTTTCTTCTTCTTTTATTTTTTTTTATCAATTTTGCTTTTTTTCATCAATTTATGTTCTTTTTTTTATTTAATTAGATGTTGTTAAAATTTTGAAAAATCAATCATTATTTTTTTTACACAAACCAACTATTATATAATATATTCGATATTGTTTACATTTATATGTTTCTTTGTTTTTTTTCATCAATTTATGATCTTTTTTATTTAATTAGGTGTTAAAATTTTGAAAAATCAATCGTTATATTTTTTTCTTTTACACGAACTGACTATTATATAATTTATATATATGATATTTTTTATATTTATATGAAATATTCTTTTTTTTTTTAGTTTAACTATGCATGCTTTACATTTTAATCCCCTAACCGATGCATTATACATGCTTGTTCTTTTTTTTTCTTTGTTTTTTTCCATCAATTTATTTTTTTTATTTAATTAGGTGTTAAGATTTTAAAAAATCAATTGTTATTCTTTTTGTTTTTTTTACACAAAGTGACAATTACATAATATATATGATAATTTTTACATTTATATGATATGTTTTAAGATTTTAGAATAAATAAACTACTATTATTGTTTAAAATTAATTTTTTCGATAAAAATTCTCATCAAGTTAGTTTTTATTCTTATTTTTTATATAGTTTTATTTATTAATAGATATGACTTATTTTCTCCATGTATGGGTTTGAATAATTTTTTTTATACCTATTTTTATATTTTTAATTATTATATAATCAAATTTTAAAAATTAAATATATGTATTTTATTTTCTCATTTTTATATAATCAAATTTTATTGAAATCAATTTTATAATTTTTACTACACTTTATTAACTTCAATATATATTTTACTATTTAACTTTTTAAAAAATATTTTTCAGTTTATTTTATACATTCTCACTTATTGAGTATGGTCATAATGTATACAAATAATAATATTAGAATCATTGATTTTATTAAAAAGCAACTATATATCTACACACAATATCAACTATTCGCTACTAATATTTTATATTTAAAATGATTTTTTTCAAATAAAATAATTAAAATAATATTTTAGAATAATTGCCTAATAATTCAAATACAATTTTGTATACTAATATTATTCATTATTTTGTAAATAAATATATGTAAATCAAATGTATGTATTTAAAAAAAATCTTCTCATCGGTAAAAAAGTTTCATTTGTTAATTTTCATATAAGTTTTTATGTTAATTGTTGCTTTATTTCTTTGATGCAATATAATGAAAAAAATATTAAGATGTTTTTCTAAATTTATATTAAAATTTTTTTATTATGGGTTTTCATATATATAATCTTTTTTATATTTTAAAATTAACATATATTTCAGCTTATATTACTCTTATAATTTAAATTTCATTCTTTGAATTCATCATTTATTATGAAAATTCTCATCCAATTAATATTTTTTGTTGTATAAGATTTTATTTACTGATAAATATAATTTATTTTTCTCTATATTTGAATTTTAGAATAAAATTTTAAAACATAATTTTAAAAAATAAATTGGTATAATATATATCATAAATTGTTACAATTTTAAATGATATTTGCATATATATATATATATATATATATATATATATATATATATATATATATATATATAATTCTAAAAGGTTAAAATTATATTTCAAATAATCTGTCTCGGTTCAATAGATATGGTCAAGACGTATAAAAAACTATTAAATAATTAATTTTATTTAAAATTAACTATATATCTTCCAACCTAATACATAATATTTACCATGAATATTTTTTTTAACATTATAGAGTCAATTTATTTGAAATAAAACAATTAAAATAATGTTTTAAAGAACCAACTAATTGTTCAAATACAGTTTTTTATGCTAATTCTATTTATTATTTTGTAAATAAATATATATAGATCTAATGCATATACTTGAGAAAAAAATAATCATCTCACCAATAGTAAATAAAAATAAAATTTTATTTTTTCATTCATTAATTTTTATGCAAATCTAGACATTAAATATAACTTTATTTTTTTTGATACATTCTTATAAAAAACATATAGTCTTAAAGTATTGGCTTTTGAACTCTTAATCAATATTTACGGTTTAAATTATTATAAGTTTTTATTTAAAAATTCCTGAATAGAAAAGAATAAATCATGTTTTTTGTTTAAGCAGAAATTTTATGAAAAAATTGTAATAATTAAATAAAAATTAATGAAAAAATTATAAAATTTTTAAATGATTTTGTTCTATCTACATGTGGTGTTGCTTGAGATAATTTCAAAAATTATCTTCTCATCAATATTAAATAAGATTTTTTCTCATTTATTAATTTTTGTAAAAGCCTATCTATTAATCATAACTTTATTTTTTTGAATATGGTATTATGAGAATTATATTTTAAAAGTTGTTTTAATTCTTGATTAATATTTTATTTAATTTTTTTATTTTAAAATCAATTAATAAAGAAGAATGATTTATGTTTTTTAAATAAAAATTTTTTAAAAATTAAGTGAATAAAAAATTATAATTCAAAAATTTTAAAATTATTTTTTTATCGGATCCACGACGTAGCGTGGACAAATGACTAGTACGAGTCTAAAAGACAAAAAAAGGAATAAGAAAAAACAGATGGAACTCAAAGAAAATCAACAAAAAACACATGCTTCAAGTTCAAGATAGTCATTGGCCAGAAAAACCAAAAAGTAACCGGATTAATTGTGTTTTCAAAGATTTTCAGGGGACATGAAATTCTTCAGCTGTTGGTTCCGCAAACAAAGATATTTTTCTTCCAAGCATACTCGAGGCTTCCTTCATTGTTTCAAATTTTATACCCGCTGCATTTTATACATTTATCATGCCATGCTATTTAAGAAAACAACATAATTACACCCAACATGCATTGATTAAATTAGTTTGCCATCACATTTTAAACATATTCTATCAAAGCAAAATTAATATGCTTATACAAACGTACACGCTGCTCCCTTTCATGCTGTGCATACGTAATCATGCCATCAATTTCCACCGCTTAATCAACGATGGTACCAAAAAAAAAAAAAAAAATCTAACTATCAAACAAATTAATTTGGGCTGCACTATCAGAAATGCTGACATAACGTTGTACATGGCCCAGAAAATTGGCACATTGGGCCATCCAAAAAAACAAAAAATTATTAGTTTTAAAAATTATTACTGATTTAGGCTATGTTGTATCAAAATACAAACAGAACATGGCATGGTCATCCAAAAAAAAAAGAACCTTCCATAAAAAACAACAATTTCTACTTATTTCCAATCGTTGACCCCCGCAGCAGAGTGCGGGCCTTGAGCTAGTATTTTACTAGTTAATTAGATGTTTCTACGTAGTCGTGTTTTTTGAGGGGGGAAAAAATAATTATAAGAGTCTGCGCGGAGCTTTTTACGCAGTTGACTTTTGTTTTTTTTTAATCCTTTTTTAGTATCCTAGCTATTTAAAAATAAAATAATAATAAAAGAATTGTCCTTTTAGTTTGTGGAGAGAACATGCCCATCTCTATTATTCAAAAACAAAAAGATAATTGTGCAATACTGCAATTTGAAATTTCTTTAGCTTTATGGTAAACACTTTTTTTAAGTACCAAAATTATCTAAAAAAAAAGAAAAAGAAAATTCATTTTCTATTCTACTCTACCTGCCACATAAGACCGAATGGACGGTGACAATACAAAGAATATACCAAAAAATTGTAAATGTGTGAGTACGTAATTGGAAAGTTAATAAACAGAGATTATGATAAAAAAATATATAGAAATTTAATCCGAAAGAATCAATCCATTGGCATTTAACGCCAACGAAGAATACGTTGACGTCAGAGAAATCAAATGAGACCCTCATTTCTGTTAAATTTTATAATACACGAGGAGTAATTAGTGGCATGTATGCGTAGATTACTCATTGGACTCACTTTGAAGAGAGAGATAGACACATAAAAAGAAAGAGAGAAAAATAGGAGAGAGAAAATAAAAAAATTTGAGCAGACGTGGAAATCTTCTTATAACTTTTTATGAATATGGATGTAATTTCTCTATTTTTTTATTTGTCCATCTGCCTCCTCAAAGTGGGTCCGAGGAGTAACTACCGTATATATCACTGAGCTTACTCCTGTGTATTATAAAATTTTCCCTCATTTCCCGCCCAAATTGATTTACTGTCTGACTTTCACAAATCCAATGGCCACAAATTAATCAAAGCAAAGGAACACATTCTCTTAACCACCACGATAGTTCTCTCTCTACGCTGCATGGATTTCTCCCGTAACCTTAGTCCATATCAAAATGGTGATCATGTAATTTAATTAAAACGAAGCCCTTTTTACAACAGCTTCTGTGTATTTAAAGCAACGTAAAAAAATTTCAAAAAGAAAGAGGTAAGACGAAAGCGAAGAAAGCGTGTCTTTCTTGTGTGATAATCTCCGAGTCTGTTTACTTTGAAAGTTTTTAGAGAGGTCGACAAATGGCAGGAGAAGATGGACAAGTGATTGGGTGCCACACTGTGGAAGCATGGAAGGAGCAGTTGGAGAGAGGAAACGAATCTAAGAAGCTGGTATTGTTTATAGTGTTCTTTTTCTTTTATTTATTTATTTAGTGTTTTTCGGTTTCTTTTTTAATGTGTGCTTAATGATCTTGATCGTGATTTATGTTACTGGTTTTTTTTTTTTTTTACTCTGTTTATAGATTCTGCTTAAACTGGGTTTTATTGTTTTGTTTGGCAGTTTGTTTGTTGGGTTTTATTTTCTGTGGCATTTTTTTTACAGTGGGTTTTTTTTTTTTTTTTTTTAAATCTAGTTAACCTAAGCCTCTGTTTTATTATGCTTTTGTTTTTGGATGACGTGGTTCGATTGTTTTCTTTGTTACTTGGTAATTGGGCTTTCATCTCTTACTGGTTTTTTTTTTCTTGATATTGATTTGCTCTGTTTAAAAGACTCGGGATTTTGGGAGATCCTGAAAACCTGGAATTTATTTGCCGTTGTTGGAGCAAAAGATTCTTGATTGCGATTGGAATTGAAAATGATTTTGTGATTTTATTTTGATAGTTACAGGTGATTTCTTTGTTGGGATCTGAAATTGGGGAAAGATATAGATTTTAACGGAACCAACATAGTGAAATTATATTCCTCTCAGTTGGGCTCCATTAGTGGACTGGAAGGCCTTTAGGGACCAAAGCATGACTGCTCTTGAATGACGAGTTGCTAAAAGTGGGGTCCTGGGTTTGGTTTTTCTAATAGAGATCTTTGAATATCTTTCTGTCAAGAACAAAATAAATAAGCATTTGTTTGCCTTTCTACAAGACAGACCTGTTGTGCTTTCCTTGGGCTAATTCACAAAATGTTTTCATAACTATATTACCAAGGTTGCCCATTATTCTTGCATGGTTATTTATTACAAAAGACTTACTTTTGTAGGGATTGGAGAAACAAGATGTCAATTTCGATTATGTTTCTATTTCATACATTTAGCTCTGTCGTTGATGCAGATGGTGATTGATTTTGCTGCTTCATGGTGCGGGCCATGCCGTGTCATTGCACCTTTCTTGGCTGAGCTGGCGAAGGAATTCCCTCACGTTACCTTCCTTAAGCTGGATGTTGATGAATTGAAGGTAATGTTGACTCAAAGTAATTATTTTCTTTTTTTATGCTGAATTTTTGAGCTAATTGTTTTTTTTTTCCCTTCTTTCCGTTTGCAGAGCGTGGCTGAGGAATGGGCTGTGGAGGCTATGCCGACTTTCTTGTTCCTGAAAGAGGGGAAGCTTGTGGACAAAGTTGTGGGAGCAAAGAAGGAAAAACTGCGGCAGACTATAGCAATGCACGCAACCGCTGCTGCATGAAGCTGATACATTTGCATGTCGTTTTAGATATAAGCTTCTAGCAACTTGGATTCTGAACCGTGGTTTTTATATCTTTCAGAGTGTTACTGGCTGTGAATTTAAACTAAGCTCCTTTTCTAGTTTGTGTACTTCCCTTTGCGTGATTGTTGAATTATCATGGTTTTTTGCTTGAATGTTGAATTATCAATGGTTTTTGCTATGACATGAATCCTTGGGTTCAACCCATGCCTGGTTTTATGAGATAGAATTCGTACAGCTATGCCAGTTGCATTTAGCTGCGGCTGCTCCAACTCTCATTGCTGTGGACATTTGTTTGTAGACTACTTTGTGGTAGTTGATTGGATTCTTGAAATTCAATTTTTGTTTTGGAGGTATTTCGGAGCATCTTCACGAGTGATTGTGGAAGATGCCAGATTACAGGGGGCTCCTTGGGTTGTGAATTGTGATCTAAGAAAACAATTTTAGATTGTATGTCCTCAAGGATTTCCTAAAATGCCCAATGCCCTTGTGTTCTTTAACCCCCAACCGAAAAAGGACGAAGAGAATAAATGAGAAAGTTAAAGGAGGAAGAAAAGAAAAGAAAAGAATAAATGAGAAAGCATTAAACTTTTGCTTCGTTGACCGTATATTCTTACGGGCAAACTCAAGAAACACATAGTTTTAAATATCAGCTGGTATATAACCATTCTTATATAACACTTTTGAAACATCATTTTACCGTTATTGTAGTATTGTAATAAGTTGTAATAAGTTTATAGAAATCTAAAGCAAGGAAAAAACAAGATATTAATTCTTTTTATTTTATTACAAAGTGAGCCCAAACCACCTGGTAGACAGCAGAGGTGTTTTTGGAATCATCCTACATAATCCTAAAACAATCCTGCATCATTGATTTCCTTGTTTCATTATCTTCAATGGCCTTGTAAAGATTAATACATGTAACCATCAAATTTAGCACCTTCTTTGATGTGAAGAAGCACATTCAATCAGATGTCTTTCAAAATCCAGTAACAAAATGCATTTGTATCTTCTTTTTCTCTGTTTCTCTTATTCCATTCTTCCAATAGGTGCTTCATCAGAGGTTCAATAACAATAATTTCTATTAATTAACACCCTATGAATATAAATTCCCTTTAAGCACTAAACAAAAACCCAATCCATTTCAATTGATTCTAGCCACTCAAACCGTGCGAAACCCAAAAAAGAACGAAAAGGAAGTTTCGGAGTAACATAGTTAATGATCTTGTTGAAATACAAAAAGACTTACTCAAATCATGATCTTGCAAGCTATTCATGATATGCTTAACAATAAAAAGAACATATAAACTAATTCCCATGCTGTGTCTCACTTCAATTAGAAACCTTTGTGACAAAAGAATTGTAGCCACTGACCTAATTCCCTTGTTGTTTCTCTTCTCTTCGATTAGAAACCTTGTTGTTTCTCTTCTCTTCAATAAGAAAGATTGGCGAGAAAAGAATTGCAAGCACCGACCTAATTCTTGTTTCTCTTCTCTTCAATTAGAAAGAACATGTAAATTTTTGCAGCCACCAAACCACTCGGTTAGTCCCGCAATATTTTGGCTGCAAATCAAATTTTCACGCTTTTCTTTTTTTGTTAGGGTTATTGGTTGTGAGATAAATTTTATCGGACTTTGTTTTTTAAAGTATTCTTCGTCATATTATTCTTAAAGCCACATGTTTCAAAAAATTTAAAATTTAATGACACAACGAGTTGAGATTTATAAAGAATAGAGCAACTTATCATCCGTCGCTAGTTACCCTTTGAGTATTATAAAATTTCTCATTAAAAATGGTCTCTCTCTTGATGCTAGGGTGCCTGACATTATTAAAAACGGGTATTGGTTCTGGCCAGTGCTAGATCAAATGCAATGGTGGAGATTCGTGGAGCCATATGTTTTAACATGTTTCCTGATCCTCTAAACTGTGAAAAGGCAGTGTAGAAACCTAGTCCTGAGGGGGAACTTTAAACATTCGAGACGGTTTATTGTATGGCTTGCAGTACAGAACAGTTCTCCACAAGGGTTAGGCAAATCCGTATTGTGGCTCTGCTGATGAAGATAGAGACCACTTGCTTTTTTTCCTCAAAAGTTAGGCAAAAAGTGTTGCAGATTTGTGGTTTTTCCAGGGTTGTTGAAGGACGGCCGTTTGAGTTTGGTCGGGAAAAAAAGAATCTGCAGAAAAGAAACTTTCAGGTCATCCTAACTATAATTAATAGCTTGGAATGCTTCTGTCTATGGTATTTGGGTGCAGCTTAATCTGAGTGCATGGTTCGTCAGATTGTAAGACACTCTCTGTATAATTCAAGAATGATAGGAGCCTTTATTGAAACCAAAATCCTCTGATATCTGTTGTAAGTGATGTTTTAATTAGTTTTGATAATACCTCTATACAAGTTTGAAATAGGGATCTTCTTCTCCACAAGTTGCTTTGATCAATGAAAATATACTGCTTCAGAGAGAGAGAGAGAGAGAGAGAGAGAGAGAGAGAGAGAGAGAGAGACCTACATGTTCTGATGCAAAGATCAGTTTCTTAGGCACTCAGGCCTCAGCCCAGGATCGCCTGCATCTCTGAGTTTAAATCTAGGCTTTCTAGCTTGCCTTTAACTGAGTTTTGAACGCTGGCCTCAACGTCCTCGAGATAATGCCCAGAGTTTTCATGTTACAACCACAAAGTCATGCCCATGCGCAGGGAATGGGAGCCAATGTACATCCTGAAGAAACTAAAGTACAGAGAGAGCACAAAATTCTGGCAAAGTAAAATAAAATTAAGTTGGCAGAATGCTCTTTCAAATTCACTTAGGAACTGCACAATCAATGGTCATACTAGGATCCGCTCCCAGCATGAACCTACTTGGGGTTTTTTTCCCCTCTTCACACAAGCAGAAAATAAACCACACCACTAGAAACACCTCTTTCTCCCAGCGCCCTCATCCACTTAAAAAGGATAAGAACTGGGGCTTGAAATTCACCATAGGTCCCAAATTGCAGAACCCGGGAATTTTCAAACTCACCTAACTAAGAAATGACCAATTTACAGGAGTCCATAAACCAAACTAAATTGAACACTAATTTGCCTTGAGCAACAAACAACATTGCCACAGCCTCCCAATTTGAAAGACTGTAGCACCTTACCTATCTAACTAAACAACCTTTTGCTGTACTCGTCGTCTTTCGTCCTATTGTTCTTCCTTGCTTTTCTTGTTGTTAAATTATTAGATGCGGTATAAATAAGGACTATTGTTCTTTCACGTAATTAAGCCCTCCAATTTGTAGGGGCACAAACAGCTTCAACTGACAACTTCTTCAACACCTTTGGACATGGGTCTAGGCCGAAGTTGCTGTTAGATATGGTAACAGCACATCTCTGCTTCCCTATACATTTCTGTGAAAAAGAAATGAAACACAATGAAAAAAATAGGCAAGGATGCTTAAGGATTCTGAAAAAAAGAGTAATGTTACATACCTTCTCTAAGGTGGCGTAGGAGGTAGAAGCATGGCAGGTTCCTTGCTGATAACTACCACAAGTTCCTAAAGGAGTTCCAAAGCTTGCAAATTTAATGGAAGAAATGGACTGGCCTGCACTACACCGAAGATGAACCTTGGGGCTGTGGAACTCTTCAGCTCTTCCATAGCTTTCAATGTGCCAGTTCTTAATAGTTGGGTGGAACTCAGTGACCTCAGCACAAACACTGGCCACTGATCTCTTCACAAGAGAAATTCTTGAAGGATCCCCTCCAAGTTCCTCGAAAACAACCAAGAGATTATTGGTTGGCTTCAACCAAGACCGAGGAACATGGTACCTGGAAAATGAAGTTTTGTCAAAGACAATGAACTTAGACTTTTTTTTTTAGGAGGGGGAGAAGGCTTTTTATCCTATGAATATTTTAGTATTTCTCCATTGTGGAAGCATTTACCATCGTTGAGTAGGTTGGCCACACCCAAGCTGACATTTTGGAGGCCGGAATGTTCCAGCATAACTGCATCCATTGCAATTACCACTAGCATATGCAGTCCAGTATCTTCCTATGCTTTGTCCATTAATCCATATTTGACCCTTTCCCATACCTTCCATGTCCAAAGCCAGTGGCTCGTCTCCATCAGGTGCATTGAAATATGCCTGCAAAGTTTATAGAATAAGTCAACTTCTGCACACAAATGACTAGTTTTCTGCAGCAGCCTACTATTTATACCTTATGCCATGTCAATGGCTGAGGTCTTTGTGCAGCTAAAGATGATTGCATCCACTCAACAGCAGAAACACTATCTGGAGAGAGAAGGTTCATGGCTTCTCCTTTCAGACCAACCTGTTATAAAGAGAGCAGTGAGGAAATAGTCATTGAATTAACAATAATTAATGACCGATCAGCAGTCCAAGTATTAAACCTGGTAGGTCCATTTTTGCCAAGACAAGTCCCATTTTCCCTGATCAAGTCCATGCAATGCAACTGGACCAAGGATACCAGTGTTCCATGACTCGTAGTGTCCACCCACATTCTTCATTGACAACCAAAAAATACATTTGTCAGCAATTTAATAATGAGTGGACATCATGCTACTTGTTCACTACCCAAATTAAAGAGGAGTATTATCTTAGTCACATGGTTTTCAACATCCCAGATAATTGTCTTTGAGAGCTTGGCCTGATACGATTTCCTAGAAATCATTTGAGTACCAGACCAAGTTATAGGAATGTGCTCTGACCTAGAGTATGTGGGCTTATGCAATTCAATAAAAATACGAAAGGAACAATCTTGTTTCATGATTGGTTAAGCCTTTAAAGAATTTCGTTGATTAATTTTTTATATTCCCTTAGAAGAGAGTAACATGGTGAGTAGGCAAACGAATCTCAGCTACAGACAAAAGCATTTGTCAATAGCTCTTTGAAATTTCAGCAACTGTTCACCAAATAGCCAATTTCAGCTGTTTGAACTTACATAGCCCTCCTAGGCTTAACATTGTATGAACTAAGACACCAAAATTTAAGCAAAAGTGGATCAGCAAAACTAACCGGCAACCCAACAGCAACGCTCAGCAATGCAATTCTGTTTGTCCCAGGACGCAGATTGACCTTCCCAGTATAAGTAAACCTCCTATTTTCTCTCGTCCCAAAGGCAGAACCTATTTGATGCATATTTAACTTAGTAATTGCTAATCAGCTAAAAGACAATCTGTGAATGATGCAATTTATGAACATACCTGAAAGCTGTCCATTAATAAAGATATGCACAGCATGGCCTGTTGATTGAACAATGAGAGTTGGGAGTTCCCCTCCACGCAGGAAGGATTCGGATGGACCAATATTGACACTGTAGGCACACATTGAAAAGTGCAAGGTTAATTATAACATCCAACTACGAAATGTCTACAACTTAATATCCGTATGGGCCACAAATTGGAGGGTGGCAGAGGCACTTATATAACCAGCTGTCTTACCTAGTCTTGTACCAGAGGTAATCACTAGCATCCCTTGTGACATTTATCTGCTCCAAGAGACCAGCAGTTGTGAATGTTGAGCTGTCATCCAGAGAAGAAATATCCTCATCGTAACTCTCCCATGAAAACATCCCATTTGTTGGCAACATTTCCATTTGAGATGTTTGAACTCCAACCTAAAAGGAAGACCATTTTATTTAGTTTTCTCACACCTACTTTATGCTATAGAACTGATTTTTAATTTTTGGGAGGAGGGATGGTTGGTTGTCCCCTGGAAATTGTTTATAACAAGTTTAAGAGGAAATTCCATACCTTAGCAGTATTAAAGACCACATTTCTGCAGTCAGGAAGGATGCTGATGGACCAAGGAGGCAAGTTATAGTGCATGTTGTTGAACAACACTCTTGCAGAAGATCTTGTATCATGATTTGCAAGGAAAGCTGCACAATCGCCTGATTCTGTAGAGTAAACATGAGCCTGCAAATACCAAATATTGACAGAAATCAATAACTGTACCAAATAAGAGAACTTGCAGTACAAGAGGAGTCTCAGGAGAGAAGTGGAAACCTGTTGATAGGTTCCTAATTGAGTGACAATAGGATCAACTGAAACTAAAGCTCGCTCACACATCTTAATGGATCTATGAAGCTCCTTTAGATGGCCATACTTTGGTTGCCTGAGCAAACCTGTCAATTTACAAAGCCAAAGCAGTTGAAGATAGATGAGAATTTGATTGGGCAACATAATTAGGTCCGTTGAATTTCTCTGAGGAAAAAAATAAAAAATAAAAAAACACCTCGATTGAAAATTAGTATATTCGATGAATATTTGTTACGTGTGAGCTTTGAAGGGAGAACAGCAAAGCAGCCAACAAAAAACAACATTTATGATGGAAGCTAATGTGCTTAAAGACCATCAACATCATACAATTTTATTCCTAAAGCTTGGATATCTTTAGTCAATTAATATCGCTTTGGAGTATAGATGAAGGGTTGATGGAGTCCAACCCTTCTTTGAATGTAACCATATCAATTACAATCCTTACCATATTCATCTATTGGAGCATCATAGTCATAGCTGGTGGTAACGAAAGGCCCTCCAGCACTGCGACCAAAGTTGGTCCCTCCATGATACTGTTTCACAGAACACATAGGAAATCAGTCTCTCAAGAATAGAGTTTCACAAGCCAACAATTTATGTACTTGGAGTGGCTTAAGTAAAAGGAATTGACCATGTAGTAATTAATAAAGGATCCTCCTTTCTGTATGAATTTAGCAACTGCAAATGCCAAATCTTGAACTGGACGCTGGTGAATTGGACCACCGAACTCTGAGAACCTTCATAGTTTAATTCAGAAGAAGAAAATTGGGAAAAAGGTTAATCTATAGCAAATTCTGAATCTGAGATAACAAAGCTAAAACAAGTAATTTGCATACCATCCACTCCAGGCCTCTGTCCAAATTGTCGGCTTGTAAGGTTTGTTAGGAGTGAATGAATCACAGTAAAATCCATTGCATGTGTTTATCTGTCAGCAGAAAATGCAGACTCGTGACTTCTTATAGGGTTATCAACTATCAAAGAGAGAATGAAATGAAAACTAAATCTAGATCTTCAGTTGGTCTGCAAGCCTGCTTACCACTGGATCTGGGGCATCTTCTTCCTTGCACATCACCCAGGGGACACCAGTTCCTGTTTTTATGGCCATATTTGCAGCCCATGTCATATAATTATAACCAGCAGCGCCAAATAACTTACTTTGTGAGCCATACTCATTCTCAATCTGCCGAGCCATAGGAAGCAGAAAACGAAAACAAAAGATGAGAAACGGTTTGATGCGCTCCATCTCGGTGAGTTAAAAAATATAACATTTACAAGATTTCTTTCCCTTTTCTTTTTAAACTATAAAATCATTAGCAATTTGTTATAATCTCAACACATCGAGAAAGAGTTTAGTTGCATAATTTTGGCAAAAAAAAAAAAAAGATGAAACAAGAAGCCAAACATGCAAAAGGCCAAAAAGAAGCAAAGAACACAAACCTGAGAGAGTATAATGGGGCCACCCTGGGATTCAAACAAATTTTCAGCCTTCATTAATCCCACAATCTTCTCAGTGAACCCTTGCATTGCCCTCTGCAACAGTATATAAGCACAACATTTTGCTTATTTTTCACTAATTCTGCTTTGACTAAGTAAAAACAATATAAAAAAAGGAGAGACCAAAACCTTGAAGGGCTCATTGTCTGTTCTAAAGCTGATGCCTGGAACATACTTCAGCCAAACAGGAAACCCTCTGCATAAAACACAAGTAAATTTAGCAAAAATGAAAATTGCCTTCACAAATCAGCACCTATATTTTTTTTAAAAAAAAAATTGATACTAAAAAGTTTTCAAATTGCAAAATAACAAGAGTGGGAGCAGAATTAGCAAGTACCCAAAATTCCATTCTGCACAAACATAAGGTCCAATGCGGAGATGGGCATAGAGGCCAGCTCTCTGTATTGTCTTCATGAACCTCACAAGATCGTATCTCCCTTCAAAGTGGTACTATAACAACCCGCACATCCAAAACAATGCAAGAAAATAAATCACAAGAAGCCAAAGCAAACAACACAGAAATAAAACAAGAAAGATTTAAAGGATAAGTACATTTCCAGGAGTAGGCTCATGCACATTCCAGAACACATAAGTCTCAATCACATCAATCCCTCCATCTTTTGCCTTCTGTATCAGATCTTCCCACATCTAACAAAACCCAAAATTTTCCAAGAAAATTAGACACACAAAGAAAACTACACAAAAGCACAGTGAAAGAAAGGAAAAAAAAAAAATCAAAAGGTTTCGCTTACATCAGGAGTGCTCCTTGGGTAGTGAATAGAACCAGAGAAAAGAATTCTTCTTTGGCCATTAATCATAATTGCCTTTCTATCATAAGTCACATTACACTGGATCAACAGAGAACAACCCAAAAACACAACAAAGAATACCAAACTGGACAGCTTGGAAACTGAGTCAGTCCCCATTTTTCTTGTTTCCCTTCACCTCCCTCCTCTACCTCAGTAGCCAAAGAATGAAAGCAGAAAGAGAGAGAAAGAAAAGAAAAGGGTTTCTGTTGTTGTGGGCTACTTGGTCTATTGTGAAACCATTACTACTTTGGAGACCCCAACAATTTCACAGGTTTCAGACACTGAGCTTTTAGCACACATATATATATACACACACACACACATACATAAAACTGTACATGCAATGTGGTTATACAGCTGGCTATTTCACTTACAGTTCACAAGTGTCAAGAGTCATCAGTGCGTGGCTGTGAGCTACTACAGTAGCAACTAAGAATTGAAAAAAATAATAATTAAAAAAAGGAAAACTGACAAAATAAAAGGGAATGCAGTCAACAGTAAATTTAAGAAGCTTTTATGCACTTTTCTCTTTTCTTTAACTGAGATTGGAGACTACAACTGCATTGTTTTGTTCGCGAGTGTTTAGCACGCGTTAACAGAATCTAGTAAAGAGTAGAGTGTACTTCGGTGGTTAATATTCAGTACCTCAAACTCTTGTTTAAAATATTCAATAATGACACATTGAGGTTGGTTTTAGCGAAATTATCCCTGCTTATTTAAATAAATATTTTTGAGTTTGAGTATTTATTTATATACATAAAAAAAATTTAAATAGCTATATTTGTTTTATGTGTATGTGTATGAAAAAGCAATAAGAAATTAGTCTAGATTTTTTAATATGAAATATTCTAGAGATTCAAAAAAAAAAAATCAATAATGTTAGTAAATTTTTACACATTTTCTTCTTTCTTTTTTCTGTTGGCACTATAAATTATAGGATAAATTTTATTTAGATCGATCTAACACAAGTGGGCATTGCCTCATCTAAAAATTAATGTTCAAGCATTTTTTTACATTGTTGGTAGATCTACAAAGTTCTAACATAAATAGAGATCCTGCACTCTCTGTTTTTTTTTTTTTTTTTTTTTGTTTGAGAGAGAGAGAGGGGTTGAAAGAGATCCTGCACTCTCTGTTGTCACATGCTGATCCCAATTGGTAAAGAATTGATGGGTTTGATTCGTGATTGTCAATGTTGACTAGGGGTGTTATGGCAAGGAAAGTAGAAGGAAGGACAGAGGACCTGGAAAAATATGCCAAAGTTTGCTGCTTTTGTCTTGGGGGGCTCTTTCCTTGACAGAGAGTAAGGCCCACAGTAAAGTCTTTCATGTGAATCAAGAACCATCCCATGCCATACTCTTTTATCGTCTTTTATATTTTGTCACGATTCTTGCCTCCAATATGACACCATTCTTTCTATCAATGGATCTCCTGTCCAAATCTCTATTTCAATAGATTTGTCCTATCTTTGTTTAAGAATTTAACCAGACAATAGCAACTAGCTGCCATCTATGCCAATACTTATTAACATTAAAGAACTTACAGAAATATTGTTCCACCCAATACATCTCTAGACTCTTGCTTCTTGCACAGTAAAAGTCAGCATGGTACCTGATATTTCAACAATCCAAAGCATGCATTGTATTTGGGAATTCCCTTTTTTCAAAATTTGCTGGTACTTATAGATAAAGAGCAAGGAATTAATTCTACAGATGGAATGCTTTGACCAATCCCACATCAATTTTACAGCAATGACGCATTATGATTTGTGACTAACCATTTCTTGATTTGACATCAATCTATAGAACAGGAATTAGTTTGCTAGCATTGCTTGCAACAACACTTTAGTAATTTATCATTTGCTTTGTGATTTTGTGGTTTGTAGAATGGTAATAACGCTGCGTTTTTAGTAAATTAAGCCAATAGATTAGATGCAATGCCTATTCTACTCTATTTTTTTAGATTCAATAATAAGAGTATCTCAATCAGTTTTTACGTATTTTGAAATTAATTTTTCTCTAAATATATTGTTTATTTAATCCAAATAATTTATATAGATGAGATCGGGATCACTATAATTAATTAATATAGTTAAATGGTCACGATCTTTGTGCTACACATTCCCACATGACATGTTTATGTTTAATAGGGTAATGAAAGTGGTACTCTAACGTGCGAATGCGGTTTCCAATCCTTGCTCTTTCTTGTTTGTCTATGATTTTCAATGGCGCGAATGATGGAAGAAAGTGCGAGGAAACCCTAAAACAGTGGGGCTTTAGTCGCATTCCGCTTAATCCGACGACCACTAACTTAATTTTGGTCACCCACTTCATACCGCAGATTTCGCATTTGTTAATTCGGTAAATGTCCGTCTCAGGTATCATCCATTCATTGATATATAGTACTGGATAATATTGTTAATTTATGTAAATTTGTTTAATACTTACTGTACGTATTCTAGATGTGGCTGAGAAGTCACTTACTGAGTGAGAAGATTGCGTTTGCTTACAAGGGTTTGCCTTAATTACCAGGCTCAGAACCCTGGCCTTGCTGGCGAATATTATCAAAGTTAGGTTTGGAATTGTAGCAGAGTCTGAGAAATTTTATAATTCTTAAAAAGAATAATTAGTGATATGTATAATATTTATTTTATAGATTCACTTTGTAAAGAGAGATAAATATATAAAAAGAGAAAATTAAAAAAAATTAAGCGAACGTGGAGATTTTTTTATGGCTTTTGATTGGTTTGAATGTAATATATATATATATATATATATATATATATATATATATATACATATATATCTTTAAAAGTAGATTCATTGAGTAATTACTATATATGTCACTAGTTATTCCTTGAATATTATAAAATTTCTTATCTCGACTTGTCTTTTTTTTTTTTTAACACACACTCAAGACTCTTAATAGAAATAATCGTTAGGATTTAAATTCGTGATCTCTTATTAAAAAAAAATACTACTATTAGACTATAAACTCTTTGGTAACTTGTTCACTTTCATGGGAAAATCTCATAACTATCTTTGTATTTTATTTTATTTTTTTACATTCAAAGGGTGTCCGACCACTTAATTTTTCGTATATCGAAGCTAAAATCATTTTTTAATTTTGATGAAAGAAATTACATATTTTATTCAAACAATTTCAACAATTTTATTGAAATTTCAATCAAGAATATACAGCAAATGGAAGTAATTAAAATTTTCTCGTATACATGTCTAATTTTAACTTGAAAAGGCATCGTATGCATAGAAATTGATGTGTTACTGCCTCAATTTCTAATCAATATCTAAATCTTGACAGGCTATTGTAATATTACCCGACAACGGCCTTAATTTGGATGTCCATGCACCGTTTGCAATCATGGTCCGGGCATTCATTTTAAAGCACAATGAAGCAATCTTCATGTCAGGTTTTCAAAAGACATGTCATGTGACCTCTTTTCTATTTTTATTTTTATTTTCATCTAAATTGCAGTGACAAATTTTGCTTGAGTAAAGGTAGCAATTTGGATATAAACTTTTGCATAATGATGGATGGAACCTGTTCTTATCATAACAGATTCTTCTATCACATGTAAAATTTTCCTAAATGTTGTCTATTGAAACATCCTTATCATCATTTTGTCCATAAAAGATGGTCGTTGTCTCAATCTTTATACTTACAAAGAGTGCAACAGCATCTCATTCTGAACATAATTGGGGGTGTCAAGTATTCACATAACATAACTAACTCCTTTTTGAACCATTTTTTTTTTTTTTTACGGATAGGGTGTCCTCGAGGTGATTTTTGTATACTAAGATTAAGATTTTCATCATTAAATGGAACATACATACCTGAATTGGTATTTTATATGAATTTTTTTCTCCCAATCATGCACGTTCTTAGTTTATTCTTTGAATAACAACGTGAAAAACAATCACACTTGCCGTTTTGACTAAGCTTCTAAAGGTATAACTACCTACATTTGCCATAACTAATTAAATTTATGTCATTAGTTAAAGATTCAAGAAGCTATAGCTAACTTTTGTAATTTACATGTAGAGTTAGATTTGTAGGATTAACATTGTCCATTTGTCATGGTCCAACATGATGGAAATTTAATTATATTATGTATGAGAAAATAATCAAGCCAAACATACACAATATGCAAGAATATATATATATATATATATATATATATATATAATCACAAGAACACCAAATTTACGTAGTGTAAAATTGTAAAAACTAATGTGAATGTAATTTGTAATTTAGCACGCTACATAGAGTTAGTACAATACTCTCTTGATCGATCAACGAGCAAGGGTTAAGGGGCGAGTATCCCTTACAAGGGCTCGTAAATAGAGCTCCCAAAAGATATACGGTGTATTGGCCGGTTGTATAGGCATTTAAGGATTTTTCAATAATCCTAATTATTCATACCATAAATATGGATATTATCTTTTCTATTTGTTGTGGATCAAAAACCTAATAAGAACTCCTGATACGATTGTAGAGTAGACACAATTGTCAACTCACGTAAATCTTGTATCATATAATTGTTTATTATTTTTTGTTTAATCTTCTTATTTGATTCGTTTCTTAACACATAGAAAACCCTCTTTATCGTAAACGAAAAAAATCACTAGACCAACTCCAAAATAAGTAACTATAAACAATAAAATAATACAATCACTCAAGTTTTTCTATAAATTAACTTGAAAAACAAAAATATTGGTTGTAATATAAGTTATCTCTCGAACTCAATTTGTTTCATTACAAAATCTTAAAATCTATACTTGTAATTCTCTATGATTGCAACACTCAAAAATTAATGTTAGAAAAAACTCCAATAATTTATGCACTAAACATTCTTATTGTTTTTCCTGTAAAAATCGTTAAAAGAACAAGAAAAAGCCTTATTTTTTTTCTCTTAATTTGTTTTCTCTTGGCAACTCGTACACAAAAGAAAGACAAATATGCATGCCTCGACTAAAATGAAATAAAAAAATGTCTTTTCTAGTTTCACAATAGTATTTTTTTCTATTTAACTTCAATCTTTTTTTGATTAATCTTTTTTTCTAATTAATTATTTTTTTAATTTAATTTCTTAATGAGTT